TCTGTGTAGGTACATCAAACTGGGTATTACTCTATAAAACTGTGCGGACCGTTTCGTTTGGCGCAATTATCTGTCTGGCAATGTCTGTCTTTTTCGCGCCATTCTGCCACAGATTAACAAATATGCAGAGCACTGCATAGCTCATTTTACACCTTGCAAAACCGACCACTTGCATGCAAAATTTCAAATTCTTCTATGCAGTAGTTGCCGACATATGGATACTTTTTTGACAGAACCATGCTTTGCCAAAGCCAAGCTATGACCTGCCCAAAGGAGCACTACCCAATTAAATCACTGCATATTACATAATGCAGCAGCGCAACAAACCTGGTATTCAGTTTATTGGAAGCGACACACCTGGCTACACACTTCTCCATTCACATATCTTATATGAGATCGGAGTTTTTTGAAAAAAGAATGCATTTTTACCTAGGCATACCTTCGAAACTGAAATATTCCATATTAAATGTCAAGTCTGTATATCTAATCTCATTGTGCGATGTTCCCACTTCTAACTTTTAATAGATACATGTATCAACGTTATATAATCTAAGCAGTGCGGTGCTGCCTTTGCCATTTTGATAAGAATTGTAAGACTACACTTAGAAACCATAGACATATGGGTAGAAAAGGTGAAAAGAGACGGGATAGTCAAGCTTGTTTACCGGAGGTAGCGTCCAAAGATGTTATTACATTGCATCATATGGGGATTTTGCCAAATCTGCCCTAAACTGACAGAAACGCAAAAATTATAAAGCAATTTTCCCTAGGTGACTTTATAATGTAATAGCCAAACTACTATTTGCCAGTCCTTCAAAGTGGATCGGTCCAGTTAAGTGTACCGTTCGCTGTGAAAAGGCCCTGATTCGACGCACCGTTCGATGTGAGCTAAGCTCCGTGAAGCTAAATGGCTTACTACACTCTTTTTTTTTTCAGGCAAGCAAACATGAACAAAATACCCTAGAGACACCATTGACGCAAGCGTGGCGGATCAGGGGGAGAAAATGTAATATACATCACCATGGCGACAGCACGCGAAAGCATATAATGTAGATATCCAGTCCTTTTTTTCTCGTTTCGACTATCAACGAAGCTGGGTAAATGAACAATTAATTTTCTTTTGACAGTGTACTAGTTTCGTTTCACTGCTTACAGTGACAGCAAGGGCGGAGCCTATCACACATGTTTACATGTTAAGGACCCTACAGCGCGCTTAAATCCATCGTGTACGCTCGTCAAAACACTGCATGCTTGCTTGCTTATTAAGCCTATTGCGCCTTTTGGGAATCCAATTTTGTTACTGTGTTTTCTGTCTCAACCAACTCTCGCACGCATACATACGTGTGTGTGTGTGTGTGTGTGTGTGTCTGCGCGCGCGCGCGCTCGCGTGTGTATGGTTTGGCGAGGGAAAATAATGTTATTCAGAACGGAAACTCCGACACTACAGTCGCAAACTCCACAAGATTTACAAAATCAATTTGCAATCTTAGAATAGCAAGAAAAGACATCTTCAACGTTTGTTTCTTCAGAAAAGGCTACTGGCATATAAACTCTACATCTTTGGCGTTCCTTCACAATTAATCGTTTTCGACCTTCTATAAATGTTGCTATCCTTAATTTTTCACTTCAAATTTTGACTGGCCTCACTATGGTCACTGTGGACTCCCCTCCCTGTCTCGCTAAAAACAAGTTTTAGAAAAAGTGTTCTTTCAACATATTGCTTTTACTTTCTGATCTACGCAGCTTGGCGGCATTATTTGATAAAAATAAGTCCGTGGGAAATAGGTTGTCTGTTTTCTCTCATCTTCTGGGAAAGGAATGGATGTCGACTCAATAGCAGTTGTTTTATGAAAACGGCGAAAAGAGAGGTGGAGACTTAGAATTAATGCTAATTCTGCACTTTGTTCTTTACTTTTCACCCATTACGCGATCTATTACCCACGACCAGCGTTTTCTACTGCAAACAATGATAAACAGTCAGGATATTGAACGCTGATGTTTTCGGTTAAGTTAAGCATGATGTTAAGCAAAGTGACGTAGCTGGGAAAATTCCATATTTTATTGATGTCCTTTAGCTTAGACATTTCCAGTGCATGATCTGGGAGTCTTTACATTGGAAACATTCAAAGTTAGCCATGCAGAAGCCAGTAAATTCTAATTCACATAGTTATCTCGCCTTTTCTGACCATAAATCGTTGTAGTCATGTAAAAAGTCAGCAACGTCAGATAGAGTTATTGCTTATACGCAGAAAAATTCAAATTTTATTCATCTTTCTTTATTATTCTATATATCTAAAGGTTTATTATGTAACTAGACTTGTATACAGTCTGGCTACCAATTTCAGCAAGTGCTGGCATCAAACAGCCTATTGTCTGAAACAATATCCGTCCACAGCGAGACATGGCTAACTGCCGCTGCGTCAATATTCTGTTACTTATATTTAAGTGTTTCATCATACCATAGAATGCCAGCTAGCCGTTTATTTATTTTTACAAGCTATTCATTTGTGCCCGTAACCTTAAATTAGGACGTAACTGATATCGTCTCAGGCCAATTCATGAATAATTCTAGCAACTGAGCCATTCGATTAGTAAATGGAGCCAAATTGGAAGCAATTAAAGAATCGATGCAGGCCGTAATTAGCAATTGTTTATCCTTAAGGACAGTACCACCCTTCAGTTGAGTCTCTAATTTTCCTCTCGTGGGGGATATGAACATCTCAATGTAATATTTGCAATGTGTGTCACGAGTACAAGTACAAGAAACCAGAAACGGCAGCGCAGCAGCGGCTCTCAACTTTATGAGACATGTCCAACGATTTCAGAGAACAAGAAAAAACACCAGAGGATGGTCGTGTTGTTCCATTTTGCAATAATCATGCAATAAATATTCGTTAAATGAATTCACAAATAACACGTGAATGTCATAACATATTGTAGTTTTATCATGGGTTTGTGATTAAATATACGAATTTAAGAATATAGACAGAATATATAACAAAAGCGTGCAGAATAATATATTTATGACCGTGCTCATTAAGTGAATTCGAATACAGACTAACAGTAGTCAAAGGTATTCATATTGGGGTATATATTATGTATATATGATACCAGTATCAATCGAATCCTTATAAGGGTTAATACTAATACTTATCGACAAATATATCGAGGGAGCAAAATATTGTAGTGAGACCGTGAACTTCGTTGGAGACATATTAGAAGGTGAAAAATATTGAAGGAAATAATGATGAATTTGTATCTGACTGCAAAGGGTGCATGCCGCTTCACACATCTCCACATATCTCGTATTTAACAAGACAGTCGCTATATGGGAGCGCAAAGAGCAGTAGAAGTAATATCGCTTTACAGTTTTACCAAATCTAATTTATCATAAGAATATTGAATTAAATTAGGCCTCTAGATACACTTTAAGTGGCTTTATATCATGGCTGAGGCAACAATAATTGAACCGATGACCGATGCTATATTCTTTCTGGATATCTGTATAGCATCGAGTGAATTAAATCCAAGTTGAAAGACCGATATATTGAGCAAAACAAGAGGAGGATGTTGGTTAGGAGGTTGCCTGCATCATAACGGGAAGCACTTATAGGTAAACATTGCTTTCCAAGTACGTACACTGTAGAATACCAATATGATTACAACTACGTCGATTTCACTGCATGAAATATTGACATTTGGACTGGATGGCACAGTGCGGTGCCCATATCTTTGTAATGATGCCGCCTAGACCTCAGAGGCGTTCCATTCTTGGAGGTTGCTTCTTAGAAAAATGATATTGTTGTCAATAATGCTTTGTCACGAAAAACCGCAAAACTCGGTGCAGCATCAGGTGGTGACAGAAAACTCTCGGTATTGTAATTGAAGAAGGCAACCACGGTATCAAGTCATATAAAAATGAAATGCCCTTTTTCCCTGGTACAAAATGCCATATAAAAAAACCCTGCCTCACGGAATATATCAATTATGGTAACCGATCATCACTGCAGGAAGAATGAACACCGCAGGTATATACTTTAATGGGAAGTAGAACATATCTCCTGGGGACCTCAAACAATACACTTGATCACGCAAAGGCGCCATAAAAACTGCACAAGAGATCATGTTTTTACCTGAGCTGCGCTGAAAGACAACAAAAACAAAATCATCTCGGTTGTAGCTCCACGCCCTTCCTGTTTCGATCGATTGTCCTACCAACTGTTCCTAAATTGTCCAAACTGTAGCGCAACATTACAGTTTCACTGATGTGCATTTAGCACAATAAATAGTTGAATATAATAAAATACAATGTAAGCTACCTGCTGAAAATAAATGCAATTTAAGAGTTAGCCTATTTGGCAAATAAACATTTTTACCTCAGAATGTTGAATTCAGGCAACGTTATTAGGATGGACGATACCCTGTTGGTTAGCCCTCGGGTACCAGTGAACATTTGACTTCTGTGTAAAAGTATGCTATCAATCAGGACGTTCACTACAATTGATTCAGTATGAAACGATATCATTGCTTTAAACAAAAGGCCACTAATTTGCCACTGCATCACTTTGTACAAAAATCAACTGTAGTGGATGAAGACATGATTGTGTTAAGAAAATAAAATCGACCGACTTTGCATGCAAAATGTAAGAAAACGTCCTTCACGCAAAAAAGTAATTGTGCTAATCATTTATCACTGTAGTAAAACTTAACACCGTAGTGTGAATATTGTTTCGGAAAAGAATGTAAGTCCGAAAATTAAACTTTTAGGCCAAAATGTGTTGTACCTCAGTTCAAGGTGAATTCAGAGATGTCCCCTTAAATAAAGTGACAATTGGTCTGAAACACTGGGCATTGCTTTCTTGATATTAAACAGGCGCATTATATTGTTTTAATTGAATAGTTTAATTCATCTGGGGTCATGGTGGACTATAATTTTAGTCTAAAAGTTTAGACCAATATTTTACCTAGACTTGGTTTGCAAAAAAGGCCATGGTCCTTACCTCCTCTGTTCTGATGTTTGTCACCATCTCGTATCCCTTTTCTGCGTCTGTTTGCTGAGAGTAATAACTAGTATAAGGTCCATCCAAACCCTTCACGGGTTTATAAGTACGGAGAGCAGGTACGATAGCAACGGACCAGTTTACAAACCTCGTATACCTGCGAGGGACGTTCTTTACATCGGTATAGTACAGTCTTAGCTTCAAATATGGTCCACTAACGTTGGATTCCATCAACCACGCCTGTTGCTCGCGGTCGTAGCAATGTGCCCTGTTTTTGTTCTTTGTCAGAGGTTCCAGTCGAACGCGACTGTAGTAAGTTGTCGAGTACATCTCGACTAAAAGCTGCAGGCGTCCTTTATGCGACGCTGTGTTGTATAGACTTTGGTGCAGCGTGTATCCGGGGTCCTCGTTTTCTGAGTCTAAGGACACCTCCATGATGTCCGTTTCCGTCATTTTCTTCCCTTTCCCGAGGACGACGGCGTATTTTGTCTTGCATAGGAGGTCAAAGTTGGTCAGTCGGGTCAGCCGAACCACGTCCTGGCTCGTGCTGGAGTGGTCATCGCCCAGGTGGGACAGCGCCACGTTCCAGTCGGAGTCCCCAAAATGAAAATGGCGGGTCTCAAAGTTTTGATAGTCAATCTGGTGCATGTTGACCTCGCTGGGCCGCCGCGGCAGCTGGATTACATCCTCAAATACTGTTTTTATGTGCCGTAGTTCCACTTCCACCATGAAGTCACCACTGGGCATGGCGAAGTTCCTCTTTATTAACTCCTCTATTTCGATAAAGTGCGGATTCCCATGTCGCGGCATGTCCACAGTGAACTGCGTCTTACGCTCTCTCAGCTCCTCATTACGCGTAAAATGATCGTGATTAATTAACGTGATTACAAAATCGATGGTACAGTTTAACCCCTCCGTCGCTTTCTTAAGCTCCAGGAATACCCCTATGTGTTTGGCCGATTTGACAAAGCTTAGGGTCCACCTTTGGTAACCGTATTCGAACTCACGGGAAGACAAGTCGGCGTAATCACGGAGGATTTTTGGTGGAACTATAAACGTGAATACCTGTGAGTTAAATCTATCACCTAATGAAACGAACCGGTGCAGATGTGCCATGTTTCCGGCTGGATACAAACAGACAAATAGACAACGGCGGATCCGAACCAATGCCACTCTATTTACAAACAGATAAAATGGTTTTCCTGATACACACAGTGGGTGTTTTTGACGAAGTCCATTGTTCATTGCATTACCTACTAAACAGACGACTCTGAAACATCACGTTCAGGACAGCAAACCTTGAACCTCGTTCTGGCCATATACTATTCCGCCAAGCGCATTCAGAGCACTTAGACAGTTTACAATAGTTCCCAGATTATAAATCAATGAGCGATTGAGTGACCCGCTTGAATTACGCGTCCACCAAATGCAAAATGAACCCAAACCACCAGCATGGCTTCCAGCACTGTAATGCGACCATCTCAAGGAAAGAAGCTCACGCTGTACAAACTCGAAACTCAACACGAATCAATACGACCTCAAAGCGGAGTGAACTCTTGTAGAATACAATATTTACTGTATCAACTGGTTGGAGCCAGTGATCCTCGGCTGATGCGGTTTTGTGAATGCAGCAATGTCCAGATAAAGGCAAAGTGGAGTAGGGAGAAATGGTGTACCTGCAACGGGAAATTGAAGATCAAATCCCAAATGTGGCTTGTCTAGGCATGCGCAAACGCACTGTACTAGTGCATGTATCACGATGGCAAATGATGTAATCATGTGTACACTTAAGTTATGTTTTATTAGCTGACTTAATAACAATGACGCTATTTAAGTACCGAATCGAAAGTATACACTCGATATCCCAGAGCTAAATCTATTTTGCTTTGCTTGTTAAGCTTAAAGCAATGTATTAACGCTAGCCTTTGGCGTTGTTTCCTTGCGGACACATGTACTCAGCAAGTAGATATAATTTTAAACTTTTGATTTAATTTCTTTTCCCTTTCTTTTTGCGCCAGGATCTTGGTGATAACATGATAAAGTACACACTTTTTGATGATTATCCGGTAAGATGGCACATTAAACGAAACGCCGTTATTATACTATAGTGCAATGAAAATAACATTTTGACATACAGACTTAAGGTCGAAAGTTTTAAGATCAAATGCACTTATTTTACGTACGCGTATGTAAGTATAAGAGGTGAATAATATAATACCTGTTTGCTGTCGTATTCAGTTAAAATTTACTGTTAGATCAATGGATCTGCCATGCTGCAATGCACAGCGCCTTTATACACATAAATACATGTATGACATATAGATGATCTGAAAATAGTTCCGCATTAGTGTACAAGTGTACGTCTCGTGTACTAGTGTACGCCTGTTACTCAGAATAGAGCCTTTACACGCCAATGCGTCTGGGTAGACTTGTAGCGAGGCAATTCTTAATGCCTGGGAGTATCCATGCTACATGCCCAAATGTTCTTTACAATCGCTATGTCTTAATCCACTTAAAATGATATGTTTTAGTTTTAAGTGTACTGGAAAGACGAATTGACAATGCTCTTTATTGTCGTATTAAATTAACGATCATGTAGTGACATTGCATGTTGCTATTTTAGGGGTTGTGGATGAACATTTGATAGCATTGATGCAGTGTAATGTGCAGACTGTCGCAATAAAGCTTAACGGCGGTGAGTTGAACCGCAACCTCCCAAGTGACTAACAATAATAATAATAATAATAATGCTTTGGAACTCCATAATCCTGTGTGGCAGTAGCAGCACGAAAAACAAAACAAAACAAACAAACAAACAAAAAGCATTTCAATCTAATAAAACTATAGGAATCCTTTCCACGTTCCCCTAGGAAAAGAACATACATCTCCACTTAGCATTTTCCACAAGGCACGGCGACGTGTCGATTTCTCCCACAATATAATCGTAAAAGAGAGCGTCCATAGGATTCCTTTGAACTTAAATCTATTTATTCTCTGGTCGCGTAGACTCCACTCTTTGCCCCATAGGCGTGTTACACACTCTGAAGCTATAATGAAATTACTGCCTTTGCTGAATAATGCATTTTACCGGAAGTGAAAATTAAAATCAATGTATTGACATGGACTTTTAATCACATGTAATTATTACTATTCCAGAAAAAAAGTAGATTTAAAGGTATCTATGACCAAGATTACTGAACTTTAAGTACATATATAGGTTAATGGTGGAAAAATTCTAAATGTACTGAATATCATTTTGTTTAGGAATTTTTAAGGCTTTTTGTCTTAAATCCATAAGGCTTTTTTTTCAGCGAGTAAGTTTCGTTTGCAAATTCATGTAGAGACAGCTGTGTCCAGAAGTTCAGCGCTGAAAATGGCGCCGAACAGAGCATCTGCAGACAAATCCATGTAAATTTCCCCAGGATATAGAACCTAAATTAGATATGTGCGTGTCGGAGTGAAATGATTATCACTTGTATCAAACCTTGAAGGAAGGCCTTACAGTGATATCTGGCCATAGGCACTATCACCCTGAGTTACATCGTGAAATTCAATTGACATAGGTCTTAAGTTTACAAAGTTTACAAAAAAGTTTTCTGCATTAGGTGCTTGCACTTGCAAGTACATGTAACACAGTAAAATGTAACCTAAGGCAATCTGAAAATCACCAGCAGACAAGCAAATACAAACCTCGGAAGATTAGATAAATAATCTACTGCAGACACAAGCGATGTGCCGTGCTGTCGCTCAATAAGATCAACACTTAATTTCGTCATTTGTGAATAAAAGATTGCAATTACACAATCGTACAATGAAAAGATGTACAAAATCTCATTGCATTTGGTGTATTTTGGGTGCAGTTATCCACTCAAATGCCAATATATTGCCGATTTGATTATTCTTACGTCGATAAGCTAATGTTCATCCGTTAATGAGTTCGTATTTCATTTGGTACTGGGATAAAATGTGGCTCTATTTCCTTAAAAATAGCTTATAGAATTTTAAGCGCGTCTGATAAATGCGTTTATCCTAATTCAATTTAGGCAAAAAACCTCATACAGCGACAAGTGCATTTATTGTTAAAAACAAAATTCTCCAGGCAAGGGGGGATTTAAAAAGGAAGGATTGTACATGTATAATAATAATAATAATAATAATAATAATAATAATAATAATAATAATAATAAAAGTGTGTGGGGTGGAAGTACTGACTATGATTATGGGTCACAAAGCAGCAGTATATATGGGAAATTGCGAGATAATAGATACTAAAATAGAACTCGGCGGGAAGGCGAGATATGAAGATATTAACAGAACACAATTCAATGGTATGGTAAGAACACATGCCTTTTATTAATACGGCCCAAATAAAACGCCAATATTAATAAACCGAACACCTGTAGCTGAGTACACTAGGATTAATAAAGCTGTGTTTCATGCATGGAGGTGTTATAACAGAGGGGACTGACTCCACGGTGTTGTATCATGTTCCACGTGACAAGCCAACGCCATACGCTGTTTTTTACTTTTTGCCAAATTGCTGGTAAACTTGATAAATGCAACGCAAGATTTGCTCACTCCCAGCATGTAGTTCACTAATGAAACTTTGGGACAAAATGGTTTAAACTTAAAGATAGGCAATTTCAGGTAACTTTGAGTGTATCAAACGTAGTTCTTCTGAAGAGAACATAGCGTCTGTTTTACAAAAAAAGTAAGAAATGAATAAAACATCGAATTGGCAACTGCTGTATCTTAACCATATGCATTTCTACTATCTGAGACAATCACTTGTAACTAATGCAATTCGCTTTTAGAGTGTTTTTCTTACTGTTGATTCCTCAGTGCAAAAAATATTTGCATAATTTGTTCTTGGAAGTTCGGGTCATTCCAGTGTGGCTTGCGTGATTTTCGGGTAATATGGTGCGTTACGGATACCCTCTACCAGGGCGACTGATAGATTTTTTACAGATATTTATAGATATCTTAGTCTAAGTGACTAAGAACCAAAATGACCATCTATCTATCTGGAGACATATCTGTGAATATCTGTAAAAAATCTATCACTCGCCCTGGTAGAGGGTACGTTACGGTAGTGTTGCGCGGCAAAAACACATTGGGATCTGCAATCGAACAACTTCACTGTTTTAAGTTTAATAATGCAACAATTAAAAGCACGACTGTCAACAACTTTGTTCTTTACATAAAGTAAGGACCGTTGTGTAGCACGATATTAACAATGGAACGAATTCCGGAAAACGAAGGAAATCGATATCCGAGAGTGTATATGAGACAGGCCAACAACGGTGTAAAGTGCAACTGCCGGTAAATTTTATTCACTACACCGTACTGCTTGGCGTGAAGAGGATTACCATTCAGGGCGGAACATTCAGTCAACAGTGAATGAAAAGTTTGAAGACACCATCGACTTCAGTGGACCATCAGGTGTACAAACAGATCAAATGTAAATAATGGAAGGCACGAGACTGATGCAAAGTCAAACGGTTCCCTGTTTGCGCACACGCTTGAACGACTAAAACAAGCCAGTGTACAGTATACTTAATAATATGTATTTTACGAACGGAAAAAAATCAAGATGTTCTTGAAAGATGACCCCCATACAATGAGGAAACAAACACACACACACACACACACACAAAAAAAAAAGGGAAGGAAGAAAGAAAAACTCACAAGAATGGGCCTGGCTGTTGAATGCGAGCAGTTGATAATGACAAGATGTAGGTTAAATATAATAACTTGTCCTCAGTTTAACTTCTTTACAAGTGTTATCTAATTTCTGTTCACTTATTATTAGGATTTCTAACCGTACACGATATTTGAACACTATATCTATTCTTCACGCTTTGTTGGTTATTGCCTCTTGTCTTTACTACTGTGTCTCTGGTTGTGATCGATGTCCAACCCATGTTAACAAGATTATCGTCTTTGCGCGTTTTATTTACCCTTTCCCTAGTTTATAGTCCACCGATCTGTTAGCACAACACCCTAAGTTATAGAAAGGAATGGGATGATTTCTGTATGATGTATTTATTGAACTTCCAAGATCGTCACTTTATGCTGTGTGTAGAGCAGACATTGAGTGATTTACAAAATGCACTAGAAGAAGTGCTACTACGGGGACTCGTCGCTGACCTGAATGGTTTTGATCTCCCGAGTTTTATTGGGCTGGCGATTGTTGTAAGTGGGTTTTATGTTTGGCAAATAAAATAGTCTCCGTATTCGCCAGTTATCACAATGCCTGGGTACCGTAAACTAGGCGTTATCGCTCAGCAAAACTTGAGCGCACTTACAGGTACGCTGAACATGTACACATATGGAAATTGCGAGAGTCATGTTTTCTATATTTTCCTCATATCCTGCAAAGCTACTGACCTTTCCCGATTTAGACCTTTAAAAAAACTAAAAAAACTTCTCAAATAAAGTACCTATATGCATTTTAAATTGTACAGGAAGGCATGGCGTTCTAAATGACTGGTCAGTCATTTAGAACTAAACCATTAAATTGAAATAGGAATAAAACATTGAATCCAAGTGCTGTTTCTTTACCAACATTTATCAACAGTTTCTTTATCATTCATGCGCAATCTCCGCCCAGTGCAGCAGTTGAGTATTTCAAGATTCTACTGTAGCAATACTGCACTGTGAGGCAAACACCCTCTTTTGGGGTACTGACTACACTTATATAATATAACAGAAAAGCAGGTCTACGGTTATCACTGCTATATTCTTGCTATTTTGGTTCTAGCACGGATTAAGTAAGCACTCAAATGTGAGACATTTTGAGTTTTTTACCCTTGATGTTGTCACACACACACACATAGTACCTGTTGATACTAATTTTTCTAGAAGAGAGTTAAGCGATTGGGTGTTGAACGAACGATAAATTTTTAAATAATTGTTAAGCGTAGTTCTTATTTTATTGCAATTTCCAAAAATGTTACAGAGCGATGGCGAGGGCCGGGAACGGAAGATTAAAGATTGGTTAATGGCGGGAAAGTACCGTGTACCCCTGGATAATTCGTTAGATATGACTTTTGGCGCCCAAATACTCTTTTATGTCCTTTTAATCGTAAAATGTTGAAAACATAACTAAAAATGGCTTCCACACTCACGCACTGGTCTTGAATCAATGTCAAAAAAAAAAAAAAAAAGGAAAAAAAAAAAAAAACGATAGATTACAAATGTGCACGGTGTGAACACTTATGACGCTTGCCTGCTTGGCGCCATGTTTACATTTAAGGCACCGAAGATTGCATAAAATTAAACCTTAGACTTCTTTTCGACAAATTTCCAGTACACTCCCAACTAAATCGCAACGGATGCTTAACTGCAAGCCCCAAAACATTTTCAGTGATATATTATTTTGAAAGCCACATGCATCGTCAGCACACAAAGAGCTTAAGCCCTCCTTTTTTCAACCACGCCAGTCATAAGCGCAAGAAACAGGACGATATAAGAGGGAATCCCCGCTGCGATTTTTTTTCTAAAATGATAACCTCCACTTAATAAATTTGCATCATAAGCGCCTGGCTACATGTATATTTAGTTAGACCTGACGCCAAGGTACATGCACAGTGGTAGTTTCAAACGATGAAGCGAGACTAATGTATTTTAGCACGGGGTGATGGACATAGAAATAAGCAGACAACAAAAATACAACAAACTTTCTTTATAAAAATTATAACAGCAAAGGCCTTATTATGACATGACCACGTCTTCAATTTCCATATATTAATTACTGCATAAAGGTTTATCAAAAGACTTCATATTTCATAAATCATTATTCTAGACACAAATGGAATACAACATAATCGCTCATGGTCCCTACTGCAACCAGGAACAAAAAAGTTAATCACATAATCTTTATTAATATTACTTGAAAAACAAAATAAAAAAGAGATTTGTCAACATACTAATTTCAATCCTGATTCATCAGCAGTTGAAACTTAAAATAAAATGACATAAACTTATTTAAAAAATTGCCATCAAGAAAATCAACATATTCACTATCATCCTAAAATTTAATTGTTGTCGTGAAGTTCATGTTAGAGAGCATATGTACCACTAGTTCGGCAATGTTCGGTTTCTGAAGAAAGTAAAGGTTTTACGTATATCATTAGCTATATGAAAAAAAAACAACAGCTATATGAAAAAAAAATGCAAACTTTGGTAAAAATGTTTTCACACATGCACGCATACAGTATATATACAAGTATACCGCTTGTACATTTTATAATTGTAAAAGTAGAAATATTACTCTTGATTTTCAATACAAAAGAAATAGCTTTCTTGCTAGATCTCTACTTTGCTCCTGTGTTAATATTTTAATAGTATTTGTAATTGTCAATTAAGTCTTGGGCCCTTGTCAAAAGCTTCGGATGTGAACCCGAAATGCATGTCATGTTCTTCATAGCACTGGCATATTCACAAAAAACACTGCAGAATATTTTTACCCATAAATAAGTACACCTCCTTTGACATTTTTATGACCACTGTATAAGAAAGAAAGTCTTCTCTCTCTTTTATCACTTTCTTACTTTGTAACCTTGTTATTTGAGAGGGAGTCACGGGAGTCTGGTTGCCACAGTAATGTAATGCCTACATCTATATTTATTAGAGTTTGGGCATCTGTAGAGTACAATAGAGAACAATGAAGCAATGTCAGCCCATGTTTACAATGTTCAAATATGACAGTGCTTAATTATAAATTTGCACTGCCAGATTAAGGGTTTTGCTCGGCAAAGTGGGAGTGGGGGTACAAAAAAATTGTGACCCCCTTACTTGTTAAATATAAAACAACTAAAAGGGGCACATTTTTCAACCAGTTCAATATGTAAGACCACTGGATGAAAAAATTACTTGGTTTTGTCTTGTTTTGGCGGCTATATTTTTATGACGAGGGAGAAGTGGGAAAAAGGGGGATTAGGGGCAAGGGCAAAAAAAAAAAAAAAAAAAAAAAAAAAAAAAAAAAAACCCTGCTGAATGTCAGATGGAACCTGACAACCCTGCGTTTTTAATATCTTCAAGACATGATACATGTGCATATATCTGACTACCAATTAGCCAAGGTATTGTGAGAAATGCACCAACAGAGTATTGTGCACTTTGTCAAACAATATTTAAAGTCCCAAATGACTGCCTTTCAACATACATCACTCAACTTCTCTTCTGGTTAGAAAGAAAATAATTTTACCCAATCTCTGCTATGTGAAACTGCAAAACCGCTTACTTTCAACTCTCGGTTCAAGAACAACATCTCGCGATTCAAGACACTTTCTTTAGAAGGCAATGCGATGACAAGGTCCCCTGTGGTGTTTTAAACATCCTTGCAGGCAGTAATGGAGATGTTTTCTGTTATACAGTATACAAGTATGCCTGTGGTTTTCCTATCACTGGTGTATGGAATGGTGAGAACCAGTTGATTGAGAAGGGGTGTCCAAACACGGATTTTACATTCATCCACCATGATCTTTTCTCCCAAGTTGCATCTTCTCTTTTTAAAGATTCAATACCCTAGAATAAAAATAATCACAGGTTAATATATATATTTTTTTCAGTAAAATGCAACATACTGCATAACTAGATCGTCACATGACATATTGGATCTGGAAATTCCAGTCACGTTGATTGAGAAAATATGGATAATGCGTATAATGGACATAACTTGGCAAATAAAAAAAGCCAGTCCCAATCAATGTTTTACACATGGGTTATTGTACAATTAAAGTCATCTATTAGCCAGAAAAAAAATCACCTAGATACTTTTGCAAATGTTAAAAATTTTCTTTAGCACAAAAAGCCACCACTCTGTAAAAACACAAACTAAACCACAATAAAATGCTGTCACTGGATATTTTCTCAGGGCCACCTTCTCTTTCTTTTTTCTTAGTTTGAAACCAACAATTACAATATTTCTTTTAATTCTTAGGTCTAGTGTAAATGCTCTTTTGCATAACATATGAATAAAAAAATCATAATATAAAATACACCTGGCTTGGGTCACCAATATTTATACATCAATACAAAATCTTTAAAAAAATAAACATTTCCATAAACTGTGTGTTAAGAAGTATTCAACAATATGAAAAAGGAACGCAGTAAAATATACTACAATAAATCATTTCCCCAAAGCTGGCTCTTCTTGACAACTTACAGTTTCATCTGAGCACACTGCTGCCATCTGTGTGCCACACATGATAGCTGTGAAGATTCCAAATAAGACACCTTCAAATATGAGAAATATGAGAAACACTGTCTGAGCTGCTGGTGAGTAACGACCACATTCTGAAAGGATGGAAAGAAACATCATATTAATTCCATAATATTTTGTGTCATTTGTCTCCACCAATTTTCTGTACTTTTTAAGTTGCCCTGCTCAATGTATTGATGTAGGTTCTATTTTTCCTAACCTTGTCAATAAAATTATGTTAAGTCCACAGATAAAAGAAAATGACCTCAAATAACCTCAACAAACTCAAAATGTTACTCAGTGACAAACTTAGGGTTACACTGGATAACAAATCTTCCAATTTTCTCATTTTCATACTTCCATAATACCAAATTAACCTTTCTTCATTACAATACCATTCAACCATATTCAAACATATTCAACTTAATTTTAAAATTATTCTGACTGTACAGGTGTGTTAACTGCAGACTGGTCTCACCTTCATGCTCACCTTTCCAATCCTGGCCAATACAAGAGATGAAGTGATAGATTGCCATGTACAGTGCATGGCAGGATATGAGGCATATATACAGCTGAAACACAGAGGCAAACTTGGTATATTTCTGTGTACATATAACCTGGGTGAATGTGCAAGGAAAATCTGACAATTTTGAAAAGGTTATAGCCGTTACATTATTAACCTTAATTAATGTGCATGGAATGAATCACATGTAGGATACAGCCAAAATGATACTGAATGTCACCATGCTTTAGGCACTTTTCCTTTCCTATAATGATTAATGGCAACCCTTGCATTTTTTTGTTCTTCTAGGTGCAATTTCTAAATAAACGAACAAAATTATTTGCCATGTTTTGACACATTTGGAAAAAGGTTCTGATCTGTTTACTAGACAGTGTTAGAAATAATTGTACCAGTAAAAAAGGTACATGATTGACCTGTTATTAAAAGACAAACCAAAGATAACATGATGCATGTTAATAATGCTAAAGCAATATAATTCTTTCCATATACAGAAAAAGTGGACTTCTGTAATATACTTAAAACTACAGTAACTTTGGTCAAGAAATGTATCAGCTTTAAAAGTTTGTAAATCGCTCAGTTACTGTAATAGCTTCTTGAAGATATTGACTGATTAAACTAAAAACAGGTAGAGGCTACATATAGTACCTCCCCCTCAGTAAATAACTCATTTGACAGGCACCAAAACATTAGTGAGCAATAACAGCTACTGTGATTTTAACTGTCAACTGAAGAAACTTTCTTACAATAATATTATATTTAATGATACTTACAGTGAAAAGTACAAAATATTTTTGGTTATTTTCTCCCACACAGTTGTTGACCCAAGGGCAGTGGTGGTCCATCTTTTTTATACATCTGCGGCAAACGCTGAAATACAAAATGAATTATTGTCAACTGCGTATATGAACATATCTACACTTAGACCACATGGATAATTATATATGAACATATCTACATTTAGACCACATGGGTAATTATATATGGTACTTTAATCTCCAGATCAGAATTTGAAAAAAATTGAAAATATCAAAAGTCTGAATTATACTCAGACATTCATGACAGTTGGCTGAAAAGTTCTTGCCAAATAAATAAATAAAATTACAATAATAACTGTGATGAATATGTGATACAAGCACCAATTCCAATGAAAACATTTATCATATTTTTTGTCTGAAATCACAGTATGTTGTTTTGATCACTACTACTACTAAATGTCCTCACCTACAGTGGTGTGCCCTGTCAGGTTTGATACTGATACACTTAGGACACCTGTACACTATCTGACCTTCTTTTAATCCAAGCTTCATTATATTTTCCTTTGTAGCATTGCCTTTGGGTACAGCCCCCTAGATAAGATGAACATGTACATGCAGTAGATATAGTCACTCGTACCTTTAATTCCAGAATGCATGAATTATTTTGTGTCATGACAGGTGAGATACTGAAAACATTACTGTATTTTATGTGAAAGTCAGTATTTTATGACACACACACACATTACTATATTTTCCATCCATCCACCCATCCATATATTCATACAAAAATACTCTCTCTCTCTCTCCCTCTCTCACACACAGAGACACACATGTAAACACACACACACATGCACACACAGTAACACACACCACTTACTGGGTCTGTCAACATTGCACGAGCATGTGAGGCCACTGCCAGGAATGCCAGCCCTTGGAATATACAGCAGTTCACAGCATAATAGGTGGTATGTTTGGAGAAGTCGGGCAAGATCAGGATCCACATGACCACAAACTCAGCATAGGTGATCAAGCCGTAGGTGAAGACTGCACAGATGATCCCACAGATATCCTTCACCAGCCATACACTGGAAATAAATGTACATTTTTATTAAAAGAGTATCAAATTATTGTTTTTTTCTTTCACTTCTTTCTTTTAAGTTATTCTCCTGTTATATTAATAAAAAAATATAACAAGAATGAAAGGGAAATGATTATACAGAACACAGTTTGCTGTTAGCATACAGTATGTTTTACCTGTTACACTGCTGCCACCTGATCCCAAACTTTCTCCAGAATGGTGCACAGTCAATGTGTTTGATGTTGTCCTCTTGGGGTAACTTGTCTGGGTGGCCTGGGTACCGCCCTGCTGACTTGATCATTACACCACCAACCTGTTCCCTGGTGTGAGAATGGAAAAATAAATAATTAATTTAAAAATAAATAAATAAGAAGCAGTCTGTGGTACTTGTGCTCTCGAAAAAAAAAAAAAAAGTTACATTTTCTTTGAAAAGAGACTTCACGGGTTATGAATATACTTATACAAAATATTTAGCTGTGAATTAGCGGTGGTAGTTAATTATATATAAGCAACTGCAAATACATGCACATAAATAAATAATAAATATAGTTTACTGTTATCATTTGTTTTAAATAGGGGAATTGGAATATACTGCTTTAATAAATTGATCTGAAATACAGTTTGCTTATGCATGCATGCCTGCCTGTTTTTAGGAGGAAACTTATACCCGCCTATGTGATGTTTAAAGCCTTAATATAAAATCATTCACTGCCATGAGGTTGTTTTATAACTGTAGTTCCTTTAATTTGGGATGTAACAGCACACACATGTCAAATCATAATTTAATGGCATCCCTTTTTTAATTGTTGCGCCGTTGTATAATATAATTTTAATCGCACTTCCTCATTACAAATAAATTTACAGTGGAAAATGAGAGAATTTACTCACAAAATAATCATTTTGGAAACGAAAGGTTGGACAGATAAAACAATTTATTGCAAATGTGTTTAAGGCTAAACAAGAAAAGTTTCATCGCACAGTTATTATGATACTAGATCTACATATATAAGATCCTCGACCACTGATGGTCAACAGAGTCGAGACGACAAGTCAACAAACTAAAAAGTCACGACACAACAAACACTCGCCGGTAATAAAAACTGGTTCAGGTGGCATTTAATCATAAAACTGTGGTGTTACAAAGATATCCAGGTTCTATATGCAATTCACCAAGACTTACATTTTCTAAAGTTCTCTGCGTTGGCAGTAAATTCTCTGAATAATCCCGCCGGACATTGGTCAACAGTGAGCTGCCATATTTTTTAACCCAATATTTGTGACGTATCAGTTTTTGTGTACGTGACGTATTTCACAACCGGCTGCAGCATGGCCGAGGTTTTGTTGAGTGAGGCAGAGCGTACTTTTATTATTCACGGCGTTCAGGTAATTGTTTGCAGGTTTTGTTCGTATTAATTGACAGACTGACCATTCAGCTCACATTTAAACATACCAGTTTACTTATATAAAAGTCATAATATGTCACCAAGTGACAGGTATTTTGCCGGTGCTACCCTGTATCCTGGGCTACTTATGATGGGCCTGGCAAAAACACAGCCATGATCCCTTCATTTATTTATTTTTTACTTTTCCTCATGTGTATATTTATAGAAAAACGTTTAAGAAGAAATTGCTGATGTTTTCGTTATTACTTTTGGGGGTTAGGGGGAAGTAAAAGCCAGAAATTTTAGGAGAAAAGTGGACACCATCATATGACATTGCCACACACACACACACACACACATATATATATATATATATATATATATATATATAGTACGTAAATATGTATACATGTACGTACTTATGCACATACATGATGTACATATATGAAGGAAAATGAAAAGATATGTGTTTTCAGCCACATTATTTCCCCTTATAATTACATTGTACTTCCAGGATAATGTGCGTGCAGATGGGAGGTGCAGTGAAGATTACAGACACATGGAACTGGAGACTGATGTTGTGTCAAATTCTAATGGATCGGCCAGAATAAGACTGGTATATTGTCTTTAAAATAGTGCACACAGTTATCCACATTTGTAACACAACAAAAATAAATTAAGATTCAAACAAATGAAAAAAAATAAATGGATCGAAAATAGTATAAAAGTATATAATTGAAGTGAAAGAAATGAAACTTTGAATTTTTGTTTGCAAAACAGTGCCTCTGTGCGTTAAGCATTTCTGGTATGCCTCTTTTGCATTCAGCTATATCATTTTAGGCCAATACTGATGTTCTTGTTGGCATCAAGGCAGAGCTCAGCCCTCCAGCACCTGGCAGACTGGATGAGGGACGACTAGAATTCTTTGTAGATTGGTAGGTGTAAATTTTTTTGCTGATGCTTTATTAGATTTTTTAAACATTAAGTATGTTTTATGTGTCTCCTCTTCCATCAGATCAAATGTTTTAGATATATAAGATGGCTTTGTCTCTCTGTCTGTCTGTTTGGTAGTCTGTCTGTCCAGTCATTCCTTCATCCACCTAACCAAATATCCATCCATCCATTTTATTATCCAGGTATCCTTTTTTAAAGCACCGGCTTACCACCCTTCATAATGTTAGTATTAGTAGCACTATAACCATCCAACTATTTCTCCATTCATTTTTTTCATCCTACCCCATTTTCCAACCACCTGTACACTTTAAAAACCCCTATAGCTAGTAATTACCAACGCCTAGTAACTACCAATCCCCCCAACCATCCCCACCACCTGTATACTACTGTATATTAAGTTAAACCTAATCCATGGCACATTCCAGCTCTGCCAATGCCACGCCAGAGTTTGAGGGCAGAGGAGGAGAGGACCTGGCCACTGAGATAGGTAACATGCTAAGTAGAGCCTATGACAACCCTCACTGCCTGGACCTAAGAAGTCTGTGTGTGATTCCTGGACAACAGTGCTGGGCTTTGTATATAGACGTCTTGGTGAGTGGACTCAGGGGTGGAGATGGGGGTGGGGTATTGGGGTGGGGGTGACCTAAGAAGTCTGTGTGTGATTCCTGGACAACAGTGCTGGGCTTTGTATATAGACGTCTTGGTGAGTGGACTCAGGGTGGGGGTACTGGGGGTGGGTGGGAGGGGGGGGGGCTGAGGTGAAAGAGGGGGGTGGTGATCTGAGAAATCTGTGTAAGCTTTGTATGTAAACGTCTTAGTGAGTGGACTCAGGGGTCGGGGTGGGGGTATTTGTTTTGCAAAAGATCCATACCCTGAAACCTAGTTTAGTAGTTACACTTTGAGTTTTCATTCACCACCTGTTACAGTTATATTATTTAAGTCATCAATTCTTGAAATTTAAATATTCCTATTGAGTGTTAGCAACAAAGTAAAAAAAAAAGTGCCTTATTGTTCTATTCTATACAGTAAGAGCACCAAAAGTACTATGTAGAAATGTTTTCAATGGTTTTGAAATTTTGCATTTAAAAGATTTATAATTTTTCTCATGATTGAAAAGGTCAAGTAATTGTCTGTTGATTTATCTTGTGATTGGATTTATTTGTTAAAACTACGATTTTTCCAAGCAATACTTTTAAAGTTTTATACATATAAAGTATATATTAACAAGTTGTCATATGTGTTATGTTTCAGCTGTTAGAATGTGGGGGTAACGTATTTGATGTGGCATCTTTTGCTGTGAAGGCTGCTTTACATAATGCAAAGTAAGTGACTTGGGACATTATATGACACTCATAGGTTTATTTATTGATTGATTTTTTACATTGAGTGAACATATGTGTTTAAAACAACCCAAGAAGTAAGTCAGTAAATAAATTAATAAAATTTAATTAGAAATAAATGAATAATAAAAAAAAGAGAACATCTTTAAAAGCCACGATTTCTTGTACTGGTAAGTTGGGTGTCATTGACATCTTTTAGACAAATTTTGTTATGAGATAGTCTGGCTGTGGGCTAGCATAAGGTTTCTCCTAATAGCATTCATAATAAGGGTAACTTTTGAGTGTACGGATTGGTCTGTGTTGAAATGTGACAACAACATAGAGGATTACACCTTGACTGTGACGGAGTACATACGTTTCTGCGAGGAGATTTGTATACCAACTAAGACAGTGACCCGATATCCTAATGACAAGAGATGGATGAATAAGAACGTACGCCAACTAATAAAGAAGAAAGACCAGGCATTCTGCGAAAAACAGAATGACCCAGAGACCTATCGCAGAGCTAAACTCCAACTGAAGAAGGCGATCAAAGAAGCTAAGAAATGCATGAAAAGCAAAATAGAGGAAAGCTTTAACACTAAGAACTCTAGGGAACTGTGGTCAAATATCTCCTTAATTACTAACTACAAGGGCTCAAAACACTCTGCTGACAAAGGAGACGCGTCACTACCGGACAAACTGAATGACTTTTATGCACGCTTTGATAAAGACAATAGTTCTTCTACAACGGTTTTACCTCCGACTTCCCAAGCTGACAATACTGAAGCAGTTCCGCTCACCATTCACCCCTGGCAAGTAAAACGGCAATTTATGCGCCTCAATGTTCGTAAGGCGTCTGGGCCAGATGGAATTTCACCTCGTGTTCTCAAACTCTGTGCTGACCAACTTGCGTACGTCTTTACTGTCATCTACAACTGGTCTCTACAAATCCGCAAAGTACCATTGCTCTGGAAGACGGCGTCTATCATCCCGGTACCAAAATCCAACCGAGTTACCAGCTTAAACGATCTCAGACCCGTGGCTCTGACTCCGGTGCCCATGAAAATTTTAGAAAAATTAGTTTTAAATTTTATTAAAGAAATTGTGCCAAAAACCTTGGACCCACTGCAATTCGCTTATCGATCTAACAGAAATGTTGAAGATGCAGTTAATCTGTGCCTACACACTGTACTACAACACTTAGATAACAAAAACTCTTATGCAAGGATTTTATTTATTGACTACAGTTCAGCTTTTAACACAATTGTGCCAAAAAAACTATATTTGAAACTTTTAAACCATCTTAAGCTACCTGTTTTTATTTGTGACTGGATTTTAGACTTTCTTTTAGATAGAAGACAATCTGTTAAAGTCGGCTCATTTAGCTCAAAAATAACAGTCTTAAATACCGGTGCACCACAGGGATGCGTCCTTTCACCTTGTCTTTACTCCCTTTTTACTTACGATTGCACTAGTGTAAGCGATGGGACTTTTCTCATGAAATTTGCGGACGATACTACGCTGGTGGGGCTAGTCACTGATAATGACGAGAGTACATATAGAGAATCTGTTGAGTCGTTGTTAAGCTGGTGCGAGAGTAATGATCTTATCTTGAACGTAGCTAAAACCAAAGAAATGATAGTGGATTTTAGAAGGAATCAGAATGTAAAGGTACCACTCACCATTGGTAATGATGAAGTTAGTAGGGTAGAGGAATTTAAACTACTTGGTATACACCTTAACAGTAAATTGAATTGGAAAGATAACACCGTAAAGAGTGTAAAGAAGGCACGGCAAAGACTGTATTTTTTAAGATCATTGAGAACTTTTACTGATAGTGTGCCTATTTTAGTCAATTTTTATAGGTGTGTAATTGAAAGCATTCTAGCGTACGGAATTATAATATGGTATAGCGGAACAGCTGGGGAGGAAAGGAAGAAATTAGCAAACGTTGTAAAAACTGCAAGCAGGATTATCGGACAAGATCTCCCCAAGCTGGATGATATTTTTAAGGACAGGATGGAGAAAAGAATTGTCAACACCATGAAAGACGCTTTCCATCCTGCATCCTCTCTTTTTACTTTTTTACCAAGCAACAGTAGACTTTTAACTTTTAAAGGCAGTAAACGCTTTTTAAACAGCTTTTATCCAAGTGCAGTGACGCATTTTAATTTGATCTCAAAGCTAAATTCTTAATTTATTTATTTATTTATTATTTTATTATTTTACTCTGTATATTGCTCCAATGGAAAATGATTTCCGATTTTTATAATTGGCTAAATAAACTCTTATCTTATCTTATCTAACTCTTTCTGATACATTCTGTATGTGCTAACATATATTACACATCAGAAGTTACTGCAAAATGAGAGTGCTAAACTTAGTGCTAGTTATGCACATTCCCATGGCTATATTGAATTATTGTATTGGAGAGAAATGAGAGGGATGCATGGAGGCATGCCTAATGTATTATACTTGGAGACTGAGTTACAGTAGCTTTGTATGGTAGAATAACCAATACACTATTTGGCACAGAGTTTCATCTCGATGGATTGGTACCATATATTTGTATATATATAAAATATTAATCTGATATCAATCGGATGATGCCAGTGCCCAGGAAAGTTGTAATAATATTTGCAACCTCCAGGATTTCGTTATTCAATTTTGTTTTCTCATGTATCTGCGTACAGACTCCCAGTGGTGACTGTCAGTGAAGAGGAAGGTGGGGAGATGAATCTCGAGTTGTCTGATGATCCGTTTGATTGTAAGAGGTTGGATATTTCACACACACCATGTTTGGTCACAGTCAGCAAGGTAATGGCATAACATTTATTTTGATATTTTTCATAAACTTACTAGTAGCATATTGCAGTATGTATCTTTCATTAGAGTTTTATAACCAGTTATTATAAATATGCAAAACATTGTGATTGTCAAACATGAATGCTGCATTCCTCAAAACCTGTGACTTGTAACACTAATCAGAACGCTTTGTTTTAAAGATGTCTTTTTCAAGTTTTGTTGAGATATTAGTCCATAAAGCACAAAAAGTTAGCAGGAAATGTCTTAGCAAATATCATTTTTAAGAAATAATTAGATACTATTTGAGACACCATGGTGGCATTTGGTCAGGCTGAGTGGCAATGATTTGATATCATGACTCATTTAAAGTGCATTTTTATAGGGAGCCACTGAATTTGGTGCCATTTTCATCTGTATACTATACACTTCATATTCTACAACAGTGGGTCAATCATTGTCAGAGAAAAACCTATGCCCAAACCCTTTTTCTAACTCTGAGACACAAAGCTTGGTTGACTTCAATTCAAGATATATCCAAAACAATCCACTTTAATTAAATAGTTATTGTTATGAAAAAATGTCTTTCTTGTTATGAATTAAACCAGGGCAATATTTCTTTAATCTGGACTACTACCAATTTTTCTAGGGTCAGAGTACACATAAAATGTTGTTCTTTAAGTTTAAAATTAGTAAGACCATTGTTAAAGCTAAAAGTATTTTGCAAAGGAGCCACTTTGCCTCCTAACACTCATAGCTAACACCATTCTGTAGTTCCTACTAATTGGTTATTACACCAACTGTACTCCTTGATTCTAGACCAACAACACATGAGACACTTAATCACTTTATTTTCAACTCGCAAGGTGGTCCACTACTTTAATTTACAAGTGTGTTAACACTATGCATTCATCTAACTGTAGCATTGAGCTTTTCCACTTCTAGATTGGGCACAACAAACATTACAAGTGTGTTAACATTACATTCATGTTACTGTAGCATTGAGCTTTTCCACTTCTAGATTGGGCACAACAAACATTACAAGTGTGTTAACATTACATTCATGTTACTGTAGCGTTGAGCTTTTCCACTTCTAGATTGGGCACAACCATGTGGTGGATGCGACGCTAGAGGAGGAAGCTTGCTGCTTGGCCAGGTAGGAAGGACCAGGTGTATAATTTTTTTGCCTTAAGTGAGAGGATTTTCCATCTTTTCTATGTATAAAGGGGAGCTTAGAGAATTCAAAGTTGTTTTGTTTTGTTTTTACTTGTGGCACAGCCAAGCTTATTTATAAGTTTTCTATAACTATAAAAATCCTCTTACATTTTGCAAACTTAGGTCATTTCTGTTATTTGTTTTTGGTCTGCACCCAAAGCTTGTTCAAGAACAGCATTTGCCCCCCCCCCATCCCCCTCCTGGTCTTTACAGATCTCTATCCTCTCTCCAGGTTGATGTTAGGTATAACAACAGAAGGAACCCTAACCGCCATGAAGAAGGAAGGCTCTGGAAGTCTGGACCCTGACAGTGTTTATGAAATGATGGAGGTAGGGCTGTAACAGCTTTATTAAGTTCTAAAGACTTTCTACCCCTCTCCTTGTACTAGAGGCATACAGTGCATTAAACCTTTATGTAGTATAAATGATAAATATTAAGTGATTTAATTAGAAAATAAACAGAAATAAATAAATATCAGTTATAATTGTTATGTTTGAAAAACATATGTGAAAAAAAATGGATATTTGAAAATTTTTCCCTTTATACCCTATCCATTTTGCCTATTCAGAAGCATTGAAAAATTAAGTCTGTACACTTGTTTCTAGCTATATAGATCTTATGCACAGTGTATGCTTTTTGATTTAAGCAATATAAGAGAAGCAATAGTGTTTTAAAAACAAATTAGCTATGGAGTTAAGATTTTTTAAAAAAATTGTTATTATTGAGAGTAATTATTGCTGCTGTTGTTGTTCTTATTATTATTATCAGTAGCCATATTGCCACTGTAACACTGAAAGACAGTAAATTTTGAAAGTGAATTTTTAATTTATGTGCATTTGATTACACACTTTGGTTTGCAACTTTTCTGTGTACGTAGGACATTTACTCTTGTTTTTTCACCTTTCAGTCTGGTAAAAAAGTCGGGCAGGCCATCAATGTTGCTCTTTTACATAAGCTTACAGAAGAAGAAAAACTGGGACTTACAAAAAGACAGAAGGGGTTTCTTCGATAGATGATTACTTTAATCAGTAAAAATATTTTTTTCTCACCGCTAATCCAAGACCAAATACTCTTAATTGTTTTACAATTACTTTCCAACAGTTACTTTTATTTTTTGTCAAAAGGTGCTGGTGTTAAGCTGGATGTTTGTCTTGGACCGAGAGCGCCTTCTACTCTCACACAGATAAAGAAACCATTCATAAATATGCTGTATCAGCCACAGCTGGAGTGAATCACAGTTTCCTTGTGAATTTTTATTTCCTGAGATGGGTATTGTCTTTCACTGATTTAACTCAGAAACCCATTTTATAAGCTTTTCTTGAATTCTCATTCTCTGAGCCATGTTTTTTAATCAAACAGATTTTCCATATATTGTAATTTTATCATCATTTTGTAGTCAGAACAGTCCACATGGTTTTCTCTGTGGGTGGTCCTGATAAGAGGCTGCTGTCTGCTGGCTCAGATAGCAAGGCACAGCCGCTCTCCTGGGTGTACTTTAGGCCAAGGTATGGATTGACATTTAATCTGCCAACTGGGAGGAGTAGGCTTCACGCCTTCACTACGTCAAACCTCTTACATATTAGAGGCAGCAGAATAAGTAAGGTAAACGATGCATGGTGGTATAATAATCAGGTTTAAAACTTAAACTCGAAAATACATAAAAAATTAAGGGGTAAAGACCACAGGTGGAAAGTCGATTAACATGCACTAGTGGGCCTGATTTGATCTTAAAGTGCAATTTCAGTCCAACACTAGACTGAACCGGTCTTAAAAATTAAGGAGGGACTCTTAATTTAGTCTTAAGACTAAAAACAAACTTAAACTGTAAAGAGTAAGACTATAATTGGTCTAAATTCAACTGAAGTGGCAAAGCAATTATCTCCCCACACACATTTAGACCAGACTTGAACTTACTCTCCAGCCAGACAGGTGAAGATAACAATCAAGTAGAGGGCCATTGTGTGAGTAGCAAAGGGTGGTCTCTTGGCAAGTAAGTGCTAATTGCCTAATTGATAAGGGTGATTCAGATACTGTCTCAGATAATTTCTAAGGCAAGGAAAGACTTGGTTGTGGAAGTACTAGTGCAGCATACTTTTAAAATTGTTTTGAAGGAAGTCTACCTTTCTTTGTTTTCTCTTTCTTTGATTTTGATTTATATCTAAAGGGTGAATCAGATACTACCTCAGATAATTTCTAAAGCAGGGAAAATGTAGCATACATTTAACAATTTTTCTTTATTAAAAGGTTTTGACATTAAGTATTTGTTATTGTCCCAAGAAATGTGAATGCAAGGCAGTGAAAAACAAGGTACAGTTATTTTAATTGTAAAGCAAGTTTCCTTTTATTTGTACCAAATACTCATATACAATTCACAAAAAAAAATTGAAAATACAAAATTACTTTTTTACTTTTAAAACATGGTAACCTTTAATTACAGGCACATCAGTATTCACAATTATAAATTAAATCGTATCAATTTCACATTTATCTTGATCCTTAAATTATTATGATATGGCAAGTTCCCTGCTGTATAATTTCCTTGCTGCGTCTGTCCTAAAAAATCTCTTTTAAAATGTCCACAGTTCTGTCCATCTCTTCCTTGGAAATGTAATTTTTGTTACGAAAACATGATACTACAAGGAAACATTGAAGCTACTCACCTTAAAACAAAGGCAGGACACTGTCGAATGGCAGAGAGGAGATGGTGGAGAAGGAGCAAGTACAGTTGATCCAGTGGCAATAAAATTATCTTCAGCAGAAAAGGGCTCATCAAGGATCTACACAAGAACTCCAACTGTACATAGCTACAGCAGAGGAGGAGTAATTCACTTTGGAAGGCTGTCAGACTTATACAGACATTGTGAAACAGTGTGGGTCTTGTTAGATGTTTTTTTCCCACCTGATAAAGAACTGGATTTCTTTTTTTCAAAAAATAAATTCCTGGGAAACAAAACGGTACCACTCAGTGATATTAGCAAACCCCTTGTAACAGCTATAGATGGTGATTTTATTTGGTTCATAAATGTTTGATAAAATGTTTTTGATCAGAAAAATCAAAGAAAGAAAAAAGAAAGAAAGACTTCCTTCAAAGGCAAAAATCGAGAAATACATGTATATTGTTTTGAATATGAAATTCTAACATTAAATTCCTGCAGTATAATGTGATTTTAAATAAAATTAAAACTGTACATTTTTATGTTAGATTGAAGTGAATTTTCAATTGTTTGTGACAAATAAAAGGCCATGTCTAATTTTAAAATAAATGTACCTTGTTTGTTAATGCTATATTCCTAAGCTCTCCTGTCAAAACATTAAAAGTATGCTGCACTAGTACTTCCACAACCAAGTCTTTCCTTGCTTTAGAAATTATCTGAGACAGTATCTGAATCACCCTTATCAATTAGGCAATTAGCACTTACTTGCCAAGAGACCACCCTTTGCTACTCACACAATGGCCCTCTACTTGATTGCTATCTTCACCTGTCTGGCTGGAGAGTAAGTCCAAGTTTGATCTGAATGTGTGTGGGGAGATAATTGCTTTGCCACTTCAGTTGAATTTAGACCAATTATAGTCTTACTCTTTACAGTTTAAGTTTGTTTTTAGTCTTAAGACTAAATTAAGAGTCCCTCCTTAATTTTTAAGACCGGTTCAGTCTAGTGTTGGACTGAAATTGCACTTTAAGATCAAATCAGGCCCACTAGTGATGGAATTGTTAGGTTTGGTTATATTTCCAAGTTATCAACACATCAAAAACTGCTGGTCAGTTATTTGTACATTCATATGATTTCAGAAATAAAGTTGAACAGATTTAAATTATTGTGTTTGAATGTGAAACCATTATAATTTACCATAATAAAAGGAACCCCACTGTATTTGTAATGAACAAAGAGAATAGCTTGAAGGTATATCCTCTGTCAGTATTACATCAACAAACTTTTTGTCGTACTGTGTTAGACGCTTGAAATTGGTCTATTTCAAGAAGTCTGTAATGAAAGATGATTACATGGTGCACACAAAGAGGCAACCAATTCAAGTGGAAGGAAGGATGTTTTGAAAATTTAAAAATATATCTTCAACACCGCAGAGCTCAAGAAAGTACATGCCATTGTGTTCAGGAAGAATAACAGAATCATCACGTAATTTCTTCTTATCTAAGTGGAAAATTTCGCCGGCAGATTCCAAATATAGTGATAATAAATCTTAAGAAAGATAAAAGAAGAAAAAAATCAAATGGAGTACAACATAATTTTCAATTTTCTGAAACATCCCTTTATTATTAAGTTTGTAGTCAGGTGTTTTGCTATCTAGTGCTTTCTCCTTAAGGTGAACATGGTTGTTTATCAGTGTTTTTTTTAATGTACAGACACATCTTGTCCATAAAAGCTAGAGGCCTCTTGTTTGTTGCCAAGTGCAACACTAAGACCCCATTCCCATAGATATTTAGATCTATCTATCCCCCTGGGGAGTCTCACTAGGTTGGTGTCAGCTTAACAGGCTTAAATGTCTACTACTAAAAGCTGTAAGGGGGTAATTGTACCACCAGCGTTAGCACACATGGTTTTAGTCCCGTCCGGATCGTTCCGCCAGCTCCGCCGGCTCTGCCGGCTCCTGCGGCTCCGCCGGACGGCTACCGTTACCGCTTCTCCTCCTAGACGGTAAGGGCCTCCGTACCCATCTCTTGGATTTAGGTCACCTATAATCTCAACTCGTTCCACGTAAAATTTGGGCTTTGTCGGTATTGGGGTCTAGGTGTGGCACTCATTGCAATGCACCCTTGTCTAAAAATGGCAAAATTAAATGCTAATTATCTACCCTACGGAAGGAATTATGGGAAAAATTTCTACAGACGGCTTTCCAAAAGTCATATGTGTAGATTTCAAATATGCCCTTGGATTTGACCTTTGACCTTTATTTCAAGGTCAAATGGGCCAAAATTTTCAAAAAAACTAATTTTTTTACGAAAAAAAAATTATTTGCCCTGTTATTCAGACACCACACAGACTTAACCAAAAATATTATTGGAAGTTGTTACCCTTCAGGTCATCTTTCATCTCCGTGAATTTGGGGTCAATCGGTGCATTTTCACGGGAGTAGCGGCCATAAGATACCGAAACTGAAAACTGTCTCTAATTCGGGAACCGTTAATGCTAGAGACCCATTCTTTTTTGCATTTTGTAGAGCATGTAAAGCCCAACACTGGAGGTGGTCTCCGTTTTTTTGTATTCCATACGGTTTTCGAGTTACGCTGTATCAAAAAGTACATATTGGTGGTGAAAGCAAAATGTGCAGTACGGTAATGGATAATAAATTTTGAACTCCAGAAAAAAATATATATAAGGCTTGGCAAAGCAGACAACTCATGGTCAAAAATAACATTATTTCATCAAATTTGAACTTCTGGAACTTCAGAGCACCTCCCATTTCAAGAATTTTGACCAAAATTACCTTTTCTTTATTTTAATTAATTTTTTTCTGTAGGAAATTTATGGCACATTATGGTAACTCCAAAATTATAACATTTAGTCCCTTATATCTCCAAAACTGGCAGAGATAGGTCCATAGTTACTATTGAAGTTGAATAGGAAGTCATATACTGGCAATCTTACTGTGACCTTGAAATTGACCTTTGACCTACTTTTCACCATGAACTGAACTTTGCAAATTTTGCTTCCCTTTTATCTACAAAACTGGCAGAGATATGTCCATAGTTACTATTGAAGTTGAATAGGAAGTCATATACTGGCAATCTAAATGTGACCTTAAAATTGACCTTTGACCTACTTTTCACCATGAACTGAACTTTGCAAATTTTGCTTCCCTTTTATCTCCAAAACTGGCAGAGATAGGTCCATAGTTACTATTGAACTTGAATAGGAAGTCATATACTGGCAATCTAAATGTGACCTTGAAATTGACCTTTGACCTACTTTACACCATAAACTGAACTTTGCAACTTTTTATTGCTTTTATTTTCAAAACTGGCAGAGATACGCCCATAGTTACTATTGAATTTGAATAGAAAGTCATACGAAGCAATTTACTGTGACCTTAAAATTGACCTTTGACCTACTTTTAACCCTGAACTGAACTTTGCAAATTTTGTTCCCTTTTATCTCCAAAACATGCAGAGATAGGTCCATAGTTACTATTGAACTTGAATAGGAAGTCATATACTGGCAATATAAATGTGACCTTGTAATTGACCTTTGACCTACTTTTCATCAGGAATTGAACTTTGCAAATTTCCGTTCCCTTTTATCTCCAAAACTGGCAGAGATAGGTCCACAGTTAGTATTGAACTTGAATATGAAGTCATTAGAGGCAATTTACTGTGACCTTAAAATTGACCTTTGACCTACCTTTAACCATGAACTTAACTTTGCAAATTTTGGTTCCCTTTTATTTCCAAAACTGACAAGATACCCCCATAGTTACTATTGAATTTGAATAGGAAGTCATATACTGGCAATCTAAGTGTGACCTTGAAATTAACGTTTGACCTACTTTTTATCATGAATTGAAGTTTACAAATTTCCGTTCCCTTTTATCTCCAAAACTAGCAGAGATAGGTCCATAGTTGCTATTGAACTTGAATAGGAAGTCATATACTGGAAATTTACTGTGACCTTGAAATTGACCTTTGATCTACCTTAGTATGAACTGAACTTTGATTGTACCATTTTAAGTTATATATATTTTTTGGCATATTTTGAGAATTCTTGTTGATTGCATTTTTTACAGCTTGTCAAGCACAAGACTGGTGGTGGTGTCCCTTTTTTGTGTGTGTGGGGGGGTCTATACGATCGCGCTTACCCCAGCTGGTGGTACAATATTCGGAGGCGGTATCGCCTCTCTGATCCTCTAGTTAACTATGGTGCGCACTCGGCTGACAGCAATTTAGGATGAACCCCAAGGGATTTAGGTGGATCCAGATGGATCGATCTTAATCTCTGGGAATGCAGTCTAAGACTGGGTTTCCATACTTAAATCGATCCGTCTGGATCGACCTAACTCCCTGGGGGTTCACGCTAAATTGCTATCAGCTCAAGAGGCTTAAATGTCTGTCACGTCTACCGAATCAGCTAGGGTAAAGATAATTACCTGTACCCTCGAACAGCTTTACTAGGCGTGACAGACATTTAAGCCAGTTACGTTGATCGCAATTTAGTGATTTAGTGAGACACCCCAGGGAGATAGATCGATCCAAATATCGGTGGAAATGGTCTCTAAAAGGGGTGTCTGCTCTTTCGTTTTTCATCAGGTTGAGGGGTTGTGCTATTCCAAACATTGCTCAGAGGTGAAAACAGAATGAGAAATAATTCAGAACTAGCAGAGATATGGTCATAGTTATTTTTGAACTTGAATAGGAAGTAATATATTGGCAATCTTACTGGGACTTTGCATTTGACCTTTGACCTACTTTTCACCACGAACTGTACTTTGCAAAATCACTCTCCAAATCTGACAGAGGTACACCCTTTGTAACTATTGAAGTTAGGCAGCAAGCCTAATCTTGGGAATTTTAATGACGTTGACATTGACAGTTGACCTACTATTTCAAATAATATGCACTTTCCATATTTACTAACCTCTGTTTTTCTACAACTAAAACAGACATTTCCATAGTAACCTTGAACTTAATTTCGTTGAAATTTAGTCTTGATTTTGGTGTTAAGCATCATGTAAAATTGTATCAAAATTTAACATAATAACTTATTTTGCGCATCATTATTTGCTTTTATGTCTGTACATTTTACAGCTTTACTGCTTGTATACTCGATCCCCAAATTAAATCAGATAAAGTTGACTTGGGCATAGAGTCAAAAACATGAAAAAAAAAAACGACCAAAAACCTGTATTCATGCTGTATTTGGCGCCCATAAACCACTTTGTGATTCTAAAGAGAGCTTACAGTAATTACGTTACTGTTATGGTTTTCGGCGTCAAAAATACACCCTGTATTTTACCGTGGTTAAGCATGACTGGACTGTTTTTGTAAGAAGAAAGACTTTTGCTTGAAGGAGGAGTGTCTCATGGTGTAACTTTCGACACCAAAACACGACTTCATTGTTTGTGTGTTGGAGCGTTTGAAAATAGAAAAGCTAGGCGACAGTTTTGAATGACAGTTAGAAAAGTTAATTGCATGGTGCATAGAAAATGGTTGCCTTCCGAAATTGCAAAGACGGATGTTTTAAATTCTTTTGACACCACAAAGTCCGTAAAAAGTGTACACAGGTGTTTTTGTAGTTTGGAGTTATATCAGTATTCTAATGCATGCTTCACCTTGATATCTAAGAAGGGATAGATTCCAGATGTAGTGAATATGGGAAAAGAAGTTCGGATACAGTGTTGTCGTATAAAGTAAAGTTGACTTCGGACAGGGGGAGGGGGGTTATAATAAAGCAAAATCTGTTTCGTGAGCATATAGCACCTGCCTTTTTTTTCTTTTTTAAATTATTTTTCATTTGACTTCTAGGCCTACAGTGTGTTGTTTGAAAGGGGCAGGGGGTGGGAAAGGCGCTGTTTCTCATACAAGGTATTGTGCTAGTATACCACATACATATATGTAGTGTTTTCGTTTGGGGGAATGCATTTTTGACTGTTACCGGTAGGTGTTATTTCAAAAATGAAATCGTTGCGGGGTTTCAATGTACTTGAGGTGCACACATTACTTGACCCAGTGATAACTCCGAAGACGCGTTCGTGTCGAGACATCCTAACACTGACTAACTGACGTCAAACGGCGACTACACTGTTTGAAGCAACATTTAAAAATGTAAGGGGTGATTTTGTTATCTTGTTTTCTGGTGACGTCAGCTGGTCTGAACTAGATTAGCTCTGATATGAACACACATACCAGTACATGATCAAGGTGCTTAGGTCTTAACTGGGATTGAGACATGCTACATGTAGTACATGTGCATAGCAGGGTGTAAATATTCTCTTGACATATCTTTGCAATAAAAGTATATTTTGATAAAGAAATGGAAACACAAGCAGGTCATGGTGTAGGTAGCTTGGTAGGTAAGGATCTCAACAATTAGTGTTCATAATACTCTGGTTTGCATAATATTTTCGTTTCTCTGAATTTGGTATGAAATATTTGTGAGTAGACCATTTCACTTATAATACGATCAAGACTAAAGGTGTTATGTATGGAACTTGGCAAAAAAAAAAAAAAAAAAAAAAAAAAAAAAAAAAAAAGGCCAAGTAAGGGATTTCCCCTCTCTTAAAGAAAAGAAAACATCACTGTCATTTCTTACAAAGATGTTTGCACAAACATCCTTCTGCTTCTTTGAGAAAATAGTTGTGGTTTTCCTTCTTAAGCCAAGTCGCTATTTCAATGGTTTTAATGACTTCTATGAAATGGTTAGGGAGCGATATAAGGGTATCATTGTGCCTTTCATATTCAAATCAAATTGTCCTCGTCGAGGGTTTTAATTTGTCGTTCAACTCGAGCGATGCAGCTTTTACCAAAATCATGGATAGGCCTGTCAGCGGTATGCCAACTTTAATTTTAAAATTCATCGATAGTAATTTCACAAAACGAACAGTAAAAGCCCCTCAATGGCGCGCCTACCAGTATTTACTACAATGCACCTTGGGAAGGTATTTTGTCGTCTCCAGTATTTCACCGCACTTCTTAAATCGTGTGCGTGACCTAGTTTGGTGACGCACAAAGGCAGACATATTGTATTCCCACCCTAGTGGTGTGTGCATATAAGAAACTAATGGCGACAGTTGCATGTCTTCTTATGCTTTGCTTCTGTTATAACAATGATGACCACCACTACTGTAGCTTTGTCTAAAGATTCTAAACGATTCATGTCTAAAAAGTGTGTTAAGAACCACTTAAAAGCAATACCGACTAATCCCCTGGTAGCCTCATCGCCTCCACATACGTCGCTTTAGGGGCCTAGCAATTAAACCTAGGAGCCCAGATTTAATCCGTTAAATGTGGAAGCGGGGAGACCATTAGATGATTAGGTGGCTTACTTTTAAGTGGAGTCGGCCATATTAAGTCGAGGGATCAATTAGTCTGCGGATCAACTGTTTTAAATGCGACCTTCAGGCATAAGATTTAGTACGCATTTTATGGAAGAGTGGTATTTTTCAGTGGTTCAGTGGTATCAACTGTTTTAAATGCGACCTTCAGGCATAAGATTTAGTACGCATTTTATGGAAGAGTGGTATTTTTCAGTGGGATTTGGCAGTCATGACGAATATTTTGAATTGCCCAAGGTTACTGTTTGGGCAACTAAGATTATTTCCTAACCTTGATGAGACCAAATGAAAAAGTAAAACTGGAAGGCAAAACGAAACGAAAATGAAAAAAACGTAACTGTATTTAAGTATATCTATCTATCTATCTATCTATCTTACTCAANCTTGACCTACCTTACTATGAACTGAAGTTTGATTGTACCATTTTTAGTTATATATTTTTTTTGCATATTTTGAGAATTCTTGTTGATTGCTTTTTTTACAGCTTGTCAAGCACAAGACTGGTGGTGGTGTCCCTTTTTTTGTGTGTGTGTGGGTCTATACGATCGCGCTTACCCCAGCTGGTGGTACAATATTCGGAGGCGGTATCGCCTCTCTGATCCTCTAGTTTGTTATTTGCAACAAAATGGCAAATTGAATGAGATCATATTTTAGAATATTTTGTTTATGTGCCCTCCTCCCTCCTAGTGCACCACAAACTTTCATAATTCCATTCACAACAAGAAAGAAGGGAACAAAGTATATTGGTTGTTCGATATTTGGCCAAACAAGGCCTCATTTATTATATAACCCCACTATACTAACAATGTAACAAATTGTTGCCTGGTTTTTGCGTGTCTCTAATGTTTTCTGAACTGCTATTGGAAGTGTTTCGATCATGTTTCAATCGTGTTTTATCATTATAAGAAACGTATTGAACCAAGTTGGTGTTACCTTAGCAGAACTGATGTTTGCAATGTAAAAAGTAGATTATCACCAGTAGTATCGTCAAGGCAAAATACCAAGACAAAGGCAAACACCATCAATGTACTCAGTACACATACCTTATAACTCCACACACAAAATTATGATCTCATTATCTTTGTTCGTTCAGAAATACCAACAAGTATCAAATTAAAGACAAAAAGTTCATTTCGAATAAATGGTCAATATACTCAACATATTTTTTTAAAATTTGTTTAGATATAACAAGTCATGTATTTATTTTATTCCATTTCAGCCGTGTGCCGTGACGAGTACCTGCCAGGGGGATCTTTTACACAAAAGGTTCCTATCAAAGGAAAGGATCATCATAAACAGAAAGCTGGGTTGGTTGATGCCATATCATCTACAGTATATTCATAGTCGTTTTTTACCAAAGTAAAAATGTCGCTGCATATGTGGAGTGTTTTAAAATAAACGAGATCGTTTTACAGTTGACCAAGGGTATTGAGACAACCTTAGTAAAAGAATACAAAAGGAACCTGATTTGAGTACATCGCCTTGAATGAATTAAAGCTCAAGTATTCACCTTAACATCGGACAAAATTCAATTTATAGTTAGATACTTGAATGATTGAGTGAGATTTTCTGTTTATCCCATCTGAAAACGGACCTTGATAAACGACAGCCTCCTTGATCATTTTTTCTCGATATCACATTCTTCATTCTCATTCTATATAAATGTTATAATTTTGTTACAAGGGGGTTGTCCGGGAAAGAATTGTCAAGTTAGACGTTGTGTGGAGGTATTGTCCTGATGCCGTAAAATTGCCATCAGAAATGTTTCGCGAAACGTTTTATTTGTATTACCCGTACCCCCTTGCTTTCAGTCGACCATCATTTCATATTTCATCATCACTTGATATTCCGCAACTTTCAGCTACAGAATTGAAACCGTCACCTACGGACCGAGTAAAAAGCTGTACTTTGCTTACTCTGGTGACAAGACATGTTACTGGCAGTGTGACAGTCAGGGGGTAGCCACACTCAGACCCTGCCCCACCGGAACTGTGTTCAAGGAGGAGCTACAGACATGTCTGCGGTACTATAAGCTATGTAAGTAACACTGTGGCATTTTGGATGCCACCAACAATTGAACAATAAACATATGTACCTATAATATATTTCGGATCTTTCTCTCTCTCCCCCTCTCTCCCTGTACCTCTCTCTCTCTCGACTACATGAAGCAAGGCTCATAAACAATTCATCAGATTCCTTTATGAATATTACACTATCCTAAAATACAAATCAAGTTTGAAGCTGGGCGATATCCTGCTATTCATGACATTTTTTCAATAGTTTATTGATATTTTAATGCAACGTTTTAGTAACTGATCTAGGAATTACCTGTACATATGTCACCTTTAGCTTGCTCGTTAACAGTTTTGTCTGGTTTCAATATTTTCAGGAAAGATGAAACACAATTGACAAAACAGAAACCGCGCAGTAAAATTCCTGGCATCCCGTGGACAACAGAAATCATTTAGTGTTAGCTGCCGTGGATTATTTGGACAGATATAAGTAAAGTAATGCTCCACAGCACATGGTTCATTGGTTTTGGAACAAAATGAAGACTTGAAAATAGTTCATAGAAACGTTTACAAACGTTAACGGACACCTAAAAACCTGTCTTGGCTAAAAGTAATGGCATTTGCTTTTTCAGAGATACCATTAATTTTCCTTCAGTACATGATTGCAATAATCTTAGTGTTGTCAAGTGTATCTGGTGCCATTATTTACATTGTTGGTTGAAATACAGTTAGTAAAACATAGCTCGAAATGATAATAATTCTTTGAATTATTAAGCTGCTCATGAAATGTTTGTGTGCACGATGTCTTGGAATAAAGCGTTGCTTCTGCAACTAGATGGTGTCGATGTCTGTAGACAACAGAGACAAAATAAGTGATAAAAGAGCCTTATTCGGTTTCGGACGTAACCCGAATTGCACAAACAAATAATTTGCTCTTAAAACATTTCTGTCAACACAGCTGAGAAACGATGAATATTTGCAGTTATACTGCTAGACACGGATTTCAAACGTCACATGGACTTTATATTGCTCCCACACTGTTTTAACTAAAATCCAACAAAGAAAGCTAATTATGCAAAAAACATTAGATTTTGTGTTTTCGCCAGTGTCAATACCAGATTAGGAAACATAACATTATCTGTCAATGTCAAAAAACTCCTGCCTTAACACAGCGTTACATCGCACTTGGAGTGCACTCGGAATTTTTAGAATGCTCTTCGAATATTCAGGAACGCACAAAGAATTGTCTTTCCGATGGCATTCTTGCTCATTCCGCCTCTAGTGTGACGGGGGTATAAAGAAGCAAGATCTTTTAACACTCATGGCAAGAGGAGGAAAAAGCTGAACATTTATTTTCCAATTGAGAAACAGAAGTTAGTTCATACTTTGCCTTTTGGCGAAACAAATGAACATAAACTACTCAAATTGCAATTCAGAATTTCACATAGAATTAATTTCAAGAATTCGATGCTCTTTAAATATAACAATATTAATATGATAAAACATGAGAAATGTACTTTCTGGGTCCTCAAATTGAAAAGGCAGCTCTATAAGGAAAAATTGGAAAGATGGGGAAAAACACTCATATGACTGGAAAAGAATATTTGTTATAACCTACTAAGATTCTCTTGACCAATATTTGTACATGTATTTTACGTCATTATTTGTGTGAAGGGTTTGTGGAAGGTGTCTTTGTCTCACATTGTATCGTACATTTTATGTAAACGTTCTGTATATACTTTGTGTATGGAACAACAACAACAACATCAACAACAACAACAATAATAATAATAATAATAATAATAATAATAATAATAATAATGAAAAACTTGTGACATTTACGGTAGCTCTCGGGTAGGGAGGAGGCGTGTATCAGGGCCCGCGATCAGAGCCCCTTCTCCGCTTTCTTTCTGTAACAAAATTCATCCGAAGGACGGTTCCAGCAATGATTTATAATGAAAGGAAACTTGTTTTACTTCCGGGGGAAATTTTGGTAGCTTCAAATTTATATTGTTTTATCAAATAATAAAAATTGAAATAGCTTAGGTAATGAAGATCACCACTATTTGAAATCTCTGATGTGGACATCACTTCCGGACAGCCTTATATTACTTCAGGCAATCTAATTTGATTATAAGAGAACATATTTTTTCCTGGATTTTCGTCGCTATCAGTTAATTTATTTTGTAAAAAACTATGTCCCTTTGCGCTCACAAGTTTCGAATCATTTGATCGACATGCCCTGTTTATTAATTGATTTATATAAATTATAAACCTTCATATCACAGGCGTGATTCACGTTATCACGACCAAGTCATAACATTGTTAAACTAGCGCCAATAACAGCAGTGGAAAAAGTAGGTCAGTTGCCTGTACAATTCTCCCATAGCATTTTTGATTTTTTCTTTAGTGGAACATTTTAGGAGAGGGCCGACGAGAGAGAGAAGTACCAGTTGACAGCAAAACATAAAAAGAGCGTGGAGCTGCTATAAGCAGAGACTATTACAAACTTTAAGAAAAGTGTAAAAATAGCCCACATTTTCCAGTTTCTCTGTGGAGCACTTTGCAGACAACAAGATAATTCTCTATGCCATCTGTCTCTCCCTAACAATTTGTTGACCACGTTAACTGTTCAACTCCCGGCAGAAGATGAACCAGCCAACGATAGTTTTGATACACAGCGTACATATAGGAGCCGGGATGTGGGGCGAGACGGTAGGTGGGTGGGTGGTCCTTCAGGATCAGTCGTTTATATAAGAATCATTATTATTCTGCTTTTTCAAACTTTTTTTATTAAGAAGGTTCCCTTAGGTGTTTTCGTTACCCGCGAAAGCCACTTTTTATTTCCCAGAGATGCGAGAAACATTAATATTAATTTATTGTTTAGCATGATCCGTGAAGCCCATTCCCATGACACTTAAATGCAGCTTTTTATATTTTGCCCTTTGTAAAACGAAGTGTTATACTAGGTGATTCGTGATTATCAGCAGTTTCCATTTGCATTATCAGTGATATACGACTAACGTTTTATTACTGTGATTTGTTAATTAATGATTTTATTTCCCGTGAACCGTGATCACTACCTCCCCCCCCCCAATGGTACCCTCAAATTATTAAGAAAAGAAAGAAGAACAGAACACTTGTGATTACATAAAATCAATATTTTATTATTAAATTAAGAGAACGACATTTTGAAGTTTTTTTAACTGGCTGCTACCGAGGCAATAACAGTTCTGCGCTGACATTCCTAAAAAGTAAAAGATGAAAATATTAAAATATAATTCAGCTAAAATGTATAAACTGTAAAAAGATGTTTACAGAAACTCAACAACCACCAGCTCCCAGCTGCTATCATATAATTACTGTACAGGTTTTACCAGCTGTTTGACATAGTGTGCCTCTTGAAAACTGAAAGTTCACTTAGTTATTATGCCATCAAAACAAGGAAACAAACAAAAGAACTTCCTTGTGACTGTATAATGAATCTGTTTTTTTAAATGCTGTCAAATTTTCCTCATTGCTAAATGTCTGAAGTTATTAGATTTAATAATAACAATAATAACCATCCATGTTCTTGACATACGTCTGAAGCAAGACGTGAAAAGATTTAAAAACCTTCTCCACCTAGATAGGCGTCTGTCCTTGGGAGCTGAAATATATGACACAATATTACTTACTAATATGCAAAAATATGTAACCCTTCATAAGCAGTCGGTGCAACATTATATTTTATGTATGAAGCTGCATTGAAACACTTTTACCAGTATTTGGAATGAACAAATATCGTTTTAAACTTGCAAAAAACCACAAACTGTGCCCTAGCACGTAGTAAATTCGTGATTTTTCAAAGGTGGTTAGAATTGCCATTTTAGCATGAAATTTATGCTGAAGTAAAATTTTTTGGCGAATTTGACGTACTTCCTGTTAAAACACAACCATCAAAATATAAGTGTCCAATATGGATACTGCGCGAGTGGCGTCAAGCACTTCAGTGTTACGATGTTACATCTCGTACATACGTTGATATTCCTTCTTAATGTATGCTTAATGTCACATTTATATGTAGCGACTCACTACTGAGCAAGACTAAAAAAGTGTCATCTTTTATCCAAAATGGACCCCTAGACGTTAAGAGGAGGGCAATTGAGTCGCAACTAACACACCGCCGTCCATCCTCTCTTTTATCACTGCCAAATGCACCAATATATATATCTAGTAACCAAGTTAGGAAGTAGCGTATAGATTGTCCTATTTATCACGGGAGGCAATAAATAAGAAGAAAGAGGACCAATATATAACAAAACGTCACACTTCATGCAAGTAGATAAAAACATTTTCACTATAATAAAAGTGGCTGGGAAGGGTTCAGGGTACCCTAGGTTCTAGATTTCCGTTTTGCCAGCTCGATCTTGATTTCATATATAACCCATATCAGCAAAACCAGTGAAGCAATCCCATGACAAGGTATGAATAGTTCACAAGCTAGCTTTACTGTGCCCTGACACTCAGGGCAGGTTCAGGGGCGTGAGAGGGACAATGACCAAAATAATGTTCCCCAAAAGAGACATCGGCTGACTGATCACTGTTGAAAGTATGCACACAGCATGTAGACATTTTCATAGAGGTGGACATGTCCTCTTAACCCTCCCCCTGTGTCCAGGTTGACAAAAATGTGTATATGTGTGGGTGGAATTGGTCTATGTTGTGTATGTATGTGTGTACATGTATGTTTGTGCGTATGTATATGTGTGTGGGTGTATGTGTGTATGGATGTACATATGTGTGTGTGTGTGTGTATGTGTGTTTGTATGTGTATGCGTGTGTGCGTGGGGGTGTTAATGAATTGGACCTTAGGTTTATACTTATTTGGACTATGGTACCATTGTTTGCGGTTAAGCAAGAACATAAATAACAAAGGACTGAAACACATCTGTATAATGGATACATAATTAAATTGACATTAAAATCACAACATAGACTTAAATCCTGGACAACTATAAAGTAAAGGAAGTCAGGAAGTCGCTCTTACTTCCACAGGACACAAAGTACCCCAAAGATCGACCTCAATATAAGTCTGTTTTATGTCGTTGGCCTTGTGTTCATTGTTATTCTATTAACTGCCTAAGGGCCCAGTGTCACCTCCTATAAAACATATTGCAAATTTTAACATTACAAACCTTTACATGTGAACGATTAAGCTGTTATCTTATATGGTAGTTATTCAGCACATGCAAACTGAAAACAGTTTAAAAGGATGAAAATGGGGATTATTGTAAAGAACGGTGTCAACATATCCCTAATAAAACTTGTGATCAGCAATGCCTATGGATTTCATAGCTCAGGATACAGTGTCAGTGTAATGATGTTTTTCTTTGCCCTACAGGTCTCGAAATTTCACTTGTTGATCTATTTTTATTAATCAATTCATTCATTTATTGTCATTTCTGTTAGATTTTCCACTTGTTTTCTATCAACAAAACATTTCCACTGAACTTCAACATAAAGTTTCGTTTGAAGTACATTTATGTTATGTAATGTAACAAAGAGACTAAAACATCAATGTTGACAGAATGCTGAAATGTCTGTCATGTAAAAGAAGTCAGTGCCGCATCAGGACTCAATGGAGGTCGATATCTATAACCACAAGGCCAAAGGTCTCTGGACGAAAGTCACAACAAACATTACGATCTTTTAAGTAATCGCTTTTTGATTGCTTGTCTAGATACAAATCCTGCCTACTACATTTTATGTAGCTGCGGATGCTAAAAAACTAACCCCTTAGGTGTCTTAAGTAACATATCTTTATGCATGTTACACAATCCCCCAGCAAGATAAACAAGTTGGAACGGCTATAAAACTGACGTAAAAGAGGGAGTGCTTTAAGAACCTTCCTATAAAACGGGGACTGAAAACCGTCTGACACACACTTCATAGGATCAGAAGAGACTGGAGAACTCTAGTCAAGACAAAGACGCCAAGATGTTGAAGATTGCATTGCTTTTATGTCTTGTAGGTCTGGCAGCTTCCGAGTAAGTATTTCTTCCTGTAAAAATTTGCATTTGTATCTTCTTGGTTTGTAACGGTGAATAAAGACGTTGCATTAGAGATTTGTAGTGAAATAGGTTACGACTGAGAAATATTTTGATAGCTTTAAAGGATATATATAACATGTGTGGCTTTGATTTATTCTTCTGGATAGATGTATACTTTACGAAATTTCCACTTTGACTAGCTGAGTATTTTAATTTAAATGAATGACAGGCCTTTATTTCTTTGATAAGAAAAAACTGTACAAAGTCGTTTTTAACAACGATGGCATTATGGATATCGTCATCTGTTTTGCATTTATACTACCTGAGGAATACAAATGTATCAGCAACTGTCCTTCGACAATCGGCGATTGTACTGAATAGCCGACACACATGTCTTGTTTATGAAGCATATGTTTTCAACGTACTCGTATACTCGCCATCTTTTCTGCATTCTACTCAGTTCCAGGCGGAAGTGTGCTAATTTGTTAATCTGATTGCATTCAGCCAAAGTCCTCGTGGATTTAGTGAGATACATATTCATTGTGTCGCAGCCTTATTGAAAATAATGCTAAATTCTTCCTGCCATGTTAACACTGAAATAGGTCCAACAAATATATAGACATGCACTTTTCTATTGTAACCCGTTGACGAAATCAAACCGTGAGTATTTGATATACACGCATGTATTCTATACAAATACATCTTAATTAAGATATTAACAACTAAAATCAAGACACACTTTTTATATGCAGCAACTACTTCGGACGAGGAATGAAAGCGTAAATAGCAATTTTCTATATATTGCATGAAATAGTATCCCCAACAATGGATGAAATAACTCAGACCGTTTGTTCAGTTTTGAATTAACATCTAGCAGATTGGTTGCATTTTGGGTGGTAGATTTAATTCAACGCTTGCTGCCAATGGTATATGCTCACATTCAGTGAAAAAAGCCTCTGGATTGGTTTTTGTGAATGCTTGATTTTGAGAATAACGCAATGCATTTTTGGGAACAACGTATTAGATAAAACTGGGCGTCTTGCCGTAGAAACCGTTTACAGTAAAAGTGATAATAGTTACATAACACCTTGTAGATGTTTCTAATTTATTTTTAATGTCTGTTTAATTAAAAACACACTAAAAGTTACTCATTTATTTAAAGTATTCAATGCCAATGGTTTGAGTGTGCTGAAGCTGCAAAGGGGGTAATTTTAATTAAAATTATTATTTAGCAGCTTTAGTGGGCGTGCGAGACATTTAAGCCGCTTAAGCTGAAAGCAATTTAGCGAATAACCTTTTGGAGATGGATCGAGCTTATTAGAACGAGCTAGGTATGGGAACCCATTACGGTAAAAAAAATTTTGAGTTCGACGCAGAGTAGGCCTATATTTATAGTATCCTATTTTTTATATGTGTCAGCTAGTAGCTGCATTTTGGTCATACATGTATTGTGGAATAATGTTTTCGACTGTTAATCCTTTCTGTCGCCAAGTGTTACACTGTTAGAAATTTTGAGTGCCTCATTAAATGGGATGTCTGGGTATATGTATATGCTCTCTCCTGGACTATCTAAACCTTGATGTTTTCTAACACTCAGATTCGGTAAGCTCAGCCAGTGATATCGCCATGCAGTGTATCAGTATTTCTCACAGATTTATTTACAACATTTGTGTAACCTTAGTAGATAATGCTGAAGTGCATTCCGTTTTGTCATAATTTAAGTTTATAGAATAAAGCATAAAGCACTGAACGATGAATGGATGTAATGATGTGTACAGTTTTGACAGTCAAAACATACGTCTCTCTCCAGACACATTAACGGCACTGTTTCCCAATCAGCCTCATAAATATTCATCAGCGCTTAATACACTTGGGTATTTACTTCTGTAGAAAAGTAGGTGCAGTCAGAATATAAAATCCTTATCCTGTTTTTCAGACAAAAACCGATGATGGAAAAAAGATGTGCTGGATATCATACAAATAAACTATGTACGTCATCTCTCTCTCTCTCTCTCTCACACACACANGACCAATATGTAACAAAATGTCACACTTCATGCAAGTAGATAAAACATTTTCACTATAATAAAAGTGGCTGGGAAGGGTTCAGGGTACCCTAGGTTCTAGATTTCCGTTTTGCCAGCTCGATCTTGATTTCATATATAACCCATATCAGCAAAACCAGTGAAGCAATCCCATGACAAGGTATGAATAGTTAACAAGCCAGCTTTACTGTGCCCTGACACTCAGGGCAGGTTCAGGGGCGTGAGAGGGACAATGACCAAAATAATGTTCCCCAAAAGAGACATCGGCTGACTGATCACTGTTGAAAGTATGCACACAGCATGTAGACATTTTCATAGAGGTGGACATGTCCTCTTAACCCTCCCCCTGTGTCCAGGTTGACAAAATGTGTATATGTGTGGGTGGAATTGGTCTATGTTGTGTATGTATGTGTGTACATGTATGTTTGTGCGTACATGTATGTATGTGTGTGTGTGTGTGGGTGTATGTGTGTATGGATGTACATGTGTGTGTGTGTGTGTGTATGTGTGTGTATGTGTGTGTGTATGTGTATGCGTGTGTGCGTGGGGGGTGTTAATGAATTGGACCTTAGGTTTATACTTATTTGGACTATGGTACCATTGTTTGCGGTTAAGCAAGAACATAAATAACAAAGGACTGAAACACAGCTGTATAATGGATACATAATTAAATTGACATTAAAATCACAACATAGACTTAATTCCTGGACAACTATAAAGTAAAGGAAGTCAGGAAGTCACTCTTACTGCTACAGGACACAAAGTACCCCAAAGATCGACCTCAATATACGTCCGTTTGATGTCGTTTGCCTTGTGTTCATTGTTATTCTATTAACTGCCTAAGGGACCAGTGTCACCTCATATAAAACATATTGCAAATTTTAACATTACAAATCTTTACATGGGAACGATTAAGCTGTTATTTTATATGGCACTTATTCAGCACATGCAATCTGAAAACAGTTAAAAAGGATGAAAATGGGGATTTTTGTAAGAACGGTGTAAACAAATCCCCAATAAAACTTGTGATAAGCAATGGGTATGGATTTCATAACTCAGGATACAGTGTTAATAAATGTTTTTCTTTGCCCTACGTACAGGTCTCGAAATTTCACTTGTTGATCTATTTTTATTAATCAATTAATTTATTTATTGTCGTTTCTGTTAGATTTTCCACTTGTTTTTTATCAACAAAACATTTCCACTGAACTTCAACATAAAGTTTCGTTTGAGGTACATTTATGTTATGTAATGTAACAAAGAGACTAAAACATCAATGTTGACCAAATGCTGAGATGTCTGTCATGTAAAAGAAGTCAGTACCGCCTCAGGACTCAATGGAGGTCGATATCTATAACCACAAGGCCAAAGGTCTCTGGATGAAAGTCACAACAAACATTACGATCTTTTACGTAATTGCTTTTTGATTGCTTGTCTAGATACAAATCCTGCCTACTACATTTTATGTAGCTTCGGATGCTAAAAAACAAAACCCTTAGGTGTCTTAAGTAAAACATCTTTATTCAGGTTGCGCAATCCCCCAGCAAGATAAACAAGTTGGAACAGCTATAAAACTGACGTAAAGGAGGGAGTGCTTTAAGAACCTTCCTATAAAACGGGGACTGAAAACCGTCTGACACACACTTCATAGGATCAGAAGAGACTGGAGAACTCTAGTCAAGACAAAGACGCCAAGATGTTGAAGATTGCATTGCTTTTATGTCTTGTAGGTCTGGCAGCTTCCGCGTAAGTATTTCTTCCTGTAAAAATTTGCATTTGTATCTTCTTGGTTTGTAACGGTGAATAAAGACGTTGCATTAGAGATTTGTAGTGAAATAGGTTACGACTCAGAAATATTTTGATAGCTTTAAAGGATATATATAACATGTATGGCTTTGATTTATTCTTCTGGATAGATGTATACTTTACGAAATTTCCACTTTGACTAGCTGAGTATTTTAATTTAAATGAATGACAGGCCTTTATTTCTTTGATAAGAAAAAACTGTACAAAGTCGTTTTTAACAACGATGGCATTATGGATATCGTCATCTGTTTTGCATTTATACTACCTGAGGAATACAAATGTATCAGCAACTGTCCTTCGACAATCGGCGATTGTACTGAATAGCCGTGAAACACGCTCTCTCTCTCTCTCATACATGTCTTGTTTATGAAGCATATGTTTTCAACGTACTCGTATACTCGCCATCTTTTCTGCATTCTACTCAGTTCCAGGCGGAAGTGTGTTAATTTGTTAATCTGATTGCATTCAGCCAAAGTCCTCGTGGATTTAGTGAGATACATATTCATTGTGTCGCAGCCTTATTGAAAATACTGCTAAATTCTTCCTGCCATGTTAACACTGAAATAGGTCCAACAAATATATAGACATGCACTTTTCTATTGTAACCCGTTGACGAAATCAAACCGTGAGTATCTGATATACACGCATGTATTCTATACAAATACATCTTAATTAAGATATTAACAACTAAAATCAAGACACACTTTTTATATGCAGCAACTACTTCGGACGAGGAATGAAAGCGTAAATAGCAATTTTCTATATATTGCATGAAATAGTATCCCCAACAATGGGTGAAATAACTCAGACCGTTTGTTCAGTTTTGAATTAACATCTAGCAGATTGGTTGCATTTTGGGTGGTAGATTTAATTCAACGCTTGCTGCCAATGGTATATCCTCACATTTAGTGAAAAAAACCTCTGGACTGGTTTTTGTGAATGCTTGATTTTGAGAATAACGCAATGCATTTTTGGGAACAACGTATTAGATAAAACTGGGCGTCTTGCCGTAGAAACCGTTTACAGTAAAAGTGATAATAGTTACATAACACCTTGTAGATGTTTCTAATTTATTTTTAATGTCTATTTTATTAAAAACACACTAAAAGTATCTCATTTATTTAAAGTATTCAATGCCAATGGTTTGAGTGTGCTGAAGCTGCAAAGGGGGTAATTTTAATTAAAATTATTATTTAGCAGCTTTAGTGGGCGTGCGAGACATTTAAGCCGCTTAAGCTGAAAGCAATTTAGCGAATAACCTCTTGGAGATGGATCGAGCTTATTAGAACGAGCTAGGTATGGGAACCCATTACGGTAAAAAAAATTTTGAGTTCGACGCAGAGTAGGCCTATATTTATAGTATCCTATTTTTTATATGTGTCAGCTAGTAGCTGCATTTTGGTCATACATGTATTGTGGAATAATGTTTTCGACTGTTAATCCTTTCTGTCGCCAAGTGTTACACTGTTAGAAATTTTGAGTGCCTCATTAAATGGGATGTCTGGGTATATGTATATGCTCTCTCCTGGACTATCTAAACCTTGATGTTTTCTAACACTCAGATTCGGTAAGCTCAACCAGTGATATCGCCATGCAGTGTATCAGTATTTCTCACAGATTTATTTACAACATTTGTGTAACCTTAGTAGATAATGCTGAAATGCATTCCGTTTTGTCATAATTTAAGTTTATAGAATAAAGCATTAAGCACTGAACGATGAATGGATGTAATGATGTGTACAGTTTTGACAGTCAAAACATACGTCTCTCTCCAGACACATTGACGGCACTGTTTCCGAATCAGCCTCATAAATATTCATCAGCGCTTAATACACTTGGGTATTTACTTCTGTAGAAAAGTAGGTGCAGTCAGAATATAAAATCCTTATCCTGTTTTTCAGACAAAAACCGATGATGGAAAAAAGATGTGCTGGATATCATACAAATAAACTATGTACGTCATCTCTCTCTCTCTCTCTCTCACACACACAAACACACACACACACACACACACACAATACTGTCGAAACGTAAAGACACATTGCCGGTTGCAATCTACCCCGTGTGCCACAGCATGTGGTCATGCACGGAGTGTGAGTATTCCATTCTACGTAGAACATGCCGTTCATATTCCAGTGTCCTCCTTTCGGGCAATACCTTATTTGTTATTTGCAACAAAATGGCAAATTGAATGAGAACATAATTAAATTTCAATTCAGATTTTAGAATATTTTGTTTTTGCGTGTCTCTAATATTTTCTGAACTGCTATTGGAAGTGTTTCGATCATGTTTCAATCGTGTTTTATCACTTTAAAAACGTATTGAAGCAAGTTGGTGTCAACTTAGCAGAACTGATGTTTGCAATGTTAAAACTAGATTATCACCAGTAGTATCGTCAAAGCAAAATATCAAGACAAAGGCAAACACCATCAATGTACTCATTACACATACCTTATAACTCCACACACAAAATTAAGATCTCATTATCTTTGTTCGTTCAGAAAGACCAACAATTATCAAATTAAAGACAAAAGGTTCATTTTGAATAAATGGTCAATATCCTCAACATATTTTTAAAAAATTTGTTTAGATAAATCAGTTCATGTATTTATTTTATTCCATTCCAGTCGTGTGCCGTGATGAGTACTTGCCAGGGGGATCTTTTACACAAAAGGTTCCAATAAAAGGAAAGGATCATCATAAACAGACAGCTGGGTTGGTTGATTCCATATCATCTATATTCATAGTCGTTCTTTACCAAAGTAAAAATGTCGTTGCATATGTGGAGTGTTTAAAATAAAACGAGATCGTTTTACAGTCGACCAAGGGTATTGAGACAACCTTAGTAAAAGAATAGAAAAGGAACCTTATTTGAGTACATCGCCTTGATTAAATAAAAAGCTCAAACATTCACCTTAACATCGGACGAAATTCAATTTATAGTTACATGTAGATACTTGAATGAGTGAGTGAGATTTTCTGTTTATCCCATCTGAAAACGGACCTTGATAAACGACAGCCTCCTTGATCATTTTTCTCGATATCACATTCTTCATTCTCATTCTAGATGTTATAATTTTGTTACAAGGGGGTTGTCCGGTAAAGAATTGCCAAGTTAGACGTTGTGTCGAGATATTGTCCTGATGCCGTAAAATTGCGATCAAAAATGTTCCACGGAGCATTTTATTTGCATTACCCGCACCCCCTTGCTTTCAGTTGACCATCACTTCATATTTCATCATCACTTGATATTCCACAACTTTCAGCTACAGAATTGAAACCGTCTCGTACGAACCGAGTAAAAAACTGTACTTTGCTTACGCTGAAGACGAGACATGTTACTGGCAGTGTGACAGTCAGGGGATGGCCGTCCTCAGACCCTGCCCCACCGGGACTATGTTCGAGGAGGATATGCAGACCTGTGGGGATTACAGAGGGATACCAGCAACAGCTGAATAATATACGTATGTACCTACAATCTCTCTCTCTACTACTACTACTGCTACTACACTCTCTCTCTCTCTCCTACTACTACTACTACATGAAGCAAGGTTCATAAATATTCCATTAGATTCCGTTATAAAATATTACACACTATCCTGAAATACAGATCCAATTTCAAGCTGGGCGATATCCTGCTATTCATGACATTTTTTCAATAGTTATATTGGTTTTTTAATGTAAAGTTTAAGTAACTGATCTAGGAATTACCTGTACACATTTCACCTTTATCTTGCTCGTTAACAGTTTTGTCTGGTTTCAATATTTTCAGGAAAGATGAAGCACAACTGACAAAACAGAACCCACGCAGTAAAATTCCTGGCATCCCGTGGACAACAGAAACCATTTAGTGTTAGCTGCCGTGGATTATTTGGACAGATTAAGTCATAGAAACGTTTACAAACGTTCACGGACACCTAAAAACCTGTCTTGGCTAAAAGTAATGGCATTTGCTTTTCAGAGATATCATTAATTTTCCTTCAGTACATGATTGCAATAATCTTAGTGTTGTTAAGTGTACCTGGTGCCATTATTAACATTGTTGGTTGAAATACAGTTAGTAAAACATTCTTTGAATTATTAAGCTTCTCATGAAATGTTTGTGTGCACTATGTCTTGGAATAAAGCGTTGCTTCTGCAACTAGATGATGTCGATGTCTGTAGAAAAAAGAGACAAAATAAGTGATAAAAGAGCCTTATTCGGTTTCGGACGTAACCCGAATTGCACTTACAAATCATTTGCTTTTAAAACATTTCTGTCAACACAGCTGAAAACGATGTATATTTGCAATTATACTGTTCAGACACGGATTCCCAATGTCACATGGAATTGATTGCTGTCCTCACAGTTTTAACTAAAAATAATATTAATTTTAATAATTTATTAAGCCAATAAAATACAAATGTATAAAATCGGGAATCATTTGCCCAGTAGTAGCGCCATTGAAATATAAAAAATGAAAATTAAAATTACATGTTAGAGTTAAAAATAGTTACTGCCGAAGGATAAAAGCTATTTAAAAATCGCTTACTACCCTTAAAAGCTAAGAGTCTCGAATTGCTAGGTAAAAATTTAAAAAGGGTATGGGCTGGATGGGAACTGTCTGTCATTATTGATAATGTTTTCTTTTTAGTCCTGTCTAGATATATAGTATGGACGGGAGTTAGATCTGTTCCAATTACAATCCCTGCAGTTTCGACGATCTTTTCCAACTTGTTCCTCTCCTCCACAGTTGCACGTCCATACCAAACAGTTACTGAATAAGTTAAAATACTCTCTAAAACACACCTGTAAAAGTTCGTTAAAATAAACACATTTCTGGTAAAAGCTTTCAATTTCCTTAAGAAATACATTCGTTGACGTGCCTTTTTCAATAGCTTCGTGATGTTATCGCCCCAGGTTAACCTATTATTCAGCTGAACCCCTAGTAATTTATAATTAGAAACCTGTTCGACCGCTTTACCGTTAACTTCCAAGGGATTTTTACTTATCTGATTTCTTCTGAAGTCTATGATCATTTCTTTTGTTTTGCTCACATTTAATATCAAGTCATTGTCTGTGCACCAATTTACTAAACTTGTAACCGACTGCCTGTATGACATCTCATCATTATGGTGTATCAAGCCGACTAAAGTTGTGTCATCGGCAAACTTCATTAAAAATGTATTTTCCTCCCTCGCCACACAGTCGTGGGTGAATAACGTATATAAACAAGGTGATAAGACGCAGCCCTGGGGTGTGCCAGTGTTTAAAACTATAGTGTCCGAGAAGTTAAAACCGACTTTTACTGACTGTTTTCTGTTTAAAAGAAAATGTAAAATCCAATCGCAGAGTGCTGGTGGAAAATTAAGATCATCCAAAAGTTTAAAATACAATTTGCTTGGTACAATAGTATTAAATGCTGAGCTATAGTCAACAAATAATATTCTAACATAGGCATTTTTACAATCGAGATGTTCGAGAACTTTGTGTAAACACATAGAAAGAGCATCGTCTACACTTCTGTTACTGCGGTAGGCAAATTGGAGTGGATCAAAGCTATTTGGCACTAAAAGCCAACAGAGAAAGTTTAAACATAATTATGCAAAAAAGTTCGACTCCTGCCTTACATCGCACTTAAAACATTGCCTGTCTGCCCACAAAATCAAACAAACCTGTACGAGTTCTTATAGCTAAGACCCCCTTCCCTTCCCTAGATCGATCTAGCAGGATCGACCCATTTCCGAGGGGTTTCTCGCTAAATTGCACTCGACTTTAAAAGCAGCTCTGATGTCTGGAACGTCTGCTGAAGCTGTTTGGGGATAATTAACTATCCTTTAGCAGAGTGCTGAAACACTGTTCCTTATAGGGAAGGATGTGACCATGTAATTTTGGTTAAGTTCGTAGTCAGAGAAAAAAAATAATTAGGGAAGTATTGAACTATAATTATATGACTCTAAATAACAGGGATGATGAGACCATTCGGTTGTCAATTCAGGAAAAATAAGATGAATTTTAAAAAATGCGTGACAAAAAATGAGGTGATTATTTTAAGAGCAAAAGCAAATGGAAAGTAGAGGAAGAAAAAAAAATCTCGAAATATTTTCTTAATTTGTAAAAAAGGAAATTATTGAGAGAAATCGATCTTTAAATTGATAGGGAAAGACGGTATCCTAAAAGAACAGAAAAAAATCCAATAGCGATTCATACCAGTCCAAAGCCAATGTATTGGATAATGTTAATAATGTCATACCCTTTTCAACGACGAAAATCCATTTATTAAAAATATTTATAAATTATTTTGAAATGACCTCAAAGTGCTAAGGTCATTTAATAAATCCTTTGAAGTACAATGTCTACATCCTAACGCCAAGGTATAATCAAGTGTATACCAGAGGAGGAGAAGGAGAAAGCATTCCTCAAGAACTGACGTCCAATGACTTTGCTAAATGTTGATTATGAACTTGGTTTTGCTTGCATAGCAGCCAGAATCCAGGAACATATTGACGATATCATGTCATTTACACAGGCAGGATTTGATAAAGGTCGCGATATAGGCGAATATTCCAGAGCTATTCAAAATATTTTCCGTAAAACAGAAAAGGTGACATATTATTAATGCAGGTTTTCAAGGGAACATATATTTTGCAGTGTCTTCATTTTTTAAATTCCAGTGAAGATATTCAAAACTGGTTCAAACTCTCTACTTTAATGTTTCCACTGCTGTTGAAAATAATGGACATCTCACAGAATTCTTCAAATTCACTCGGGGTGTTAGACAGGGTGATCCTCTATACCCGTACATATTTATTATCTGCATATATAGTACGTACATATATAGTAGTATACTGCACATAAGAGAAAAGACATTTTCCTGGTTTTGAGTCGTGTAGTTTTTTTATTTTATTTTTGAAAAAAGCAATGCCCCTTTACACTCACAACTTACCAACCATTTGATCAACACGCCCTGTTTATTAATTCATTGACATAAATTATAAACCTTTATGTCACAGGCGTGAATCGTTGTCACGTCCAAGTCATAACATTGTTAAATTAGCGCCAATAACTGCAATAGAGAATGTAGGTCAATTGCCTGTACAATTTTCCCATACATGTACCATTATTAACTTTTTCTGGAGTGGAACATTTTCGGGAAAGGCGGACGAGAGAGAGAAGCATCCACTGAACCGCAAAATAAAACTCTTACACAGTCAACTACGTCATCCCTGGGCAGGGGACGGGAGAGGGGCGAACATCGAATGCGTCCCCTCAGCACCAGACAGAGTGATCGCAGCACTAATTCCAGCCTGGTCCGGCAACTCAAGGCCTTCACATAATAGTGGTCAGTTGTTAACAAGTCAGGAAGACAGCACTATGGACACTCAGGTAAACTGACCATTAGTGATAGGGTCATCAGCTGTATTGCAGTTGACCTGCAGTATCAAAAGCTCTATTTCAATTGTTTTCATCTAGTAAACTATTAATTTCTTAGAAAGGGGAACACCTATCTATAATTTATCTTTATCTTTGCGAACTTGAATATAGAAGAGATGGACATTAAAGTGTTATGTTATGTATTTGATTAAGTACGATTCTTTCCCATTGATGATCTATGTAATGACAACTTGTGACATTGTGTTATGTGAATTCATTATAGTCTATTTTCAGATATGTTATGCAGTTATATTTACACCTCTGTGTATTACATATTCCACTAAGATTTCAATAAAATTGACTGTGACTTTCTGAAATCTTCTCTGGAGGTTGTCTGCATTCTCTCTCACCTCCTCTCGGCAACGCTATCTGTTATAATGGTTGGTTCTACAGATAGTGATAAGGAATTCAATTTCAGTAAGGCAGTCGGCCTCATAAATAATCACAATTATTGCCTTTTTTNTCATTTAATAAATCCTTTGAAGTACAATGTCTACATCCTAACGCCAAGGTATAATCAAGTGTATACCAGAGGAGGAGAAGGAGAAAGCATTCCTCAAGAACTGACGTCCAATGACTTTGCTAAATGTTGATTATGAACTTGGTTTTGCTTGCATAGCAGCCAGAATCCAGGAACATATTGACGATATCATGTCATTTACACAGGCAGGATTTGATAAAGGTCGCGATATAGGCGAATATTCCAGAGCTATTCAAAATATTTTCCGTAAAACAGAAAAGGTGACATATTATTAATGCAGGTTTTCAAGGGAACATATATTTTGCAGTGTCTTCATTTTTTAAATTCCAGTGAAGATATTCAAAACTGGTTCAAACTCTCTACTTTAATGTTTCCACTGCTGTTGAAAATAATGGACATCTCACAGAATTCTTCAAATTCACTCGGGGTGTTAGACAGGGTGATCCTCTATACCCGTACATATTTATTATCTGCATATATAGTACGTACATATATAGTAGTATACTGCACATAAGAGAAAAGACATTTTCCTGGTTTTGAGTCGTGTAGTTTTTTTATTTTATTTTTGAAAAAAGCAATGCCCCTTTACACTCACAACTTACCAACCATTTGATCAACACGCCTTGTTTATTAATTCATTGACATAAATTATAAACCTTTATGTCACAGGCGTGAATCGTTGTCACGTCCAAGTCATAACATTGTTAAATTAGCGCCAATAACTGCAATAGAGAATGTAGGTCAATTGCCTGTACAATTTTCCCATACATGTACCATTATTAACTTTTTCTGGAGTGGAACATTTTCGGGAAAGGCGGACGAGAGAGAGAAGCATCCACTGAACCGCAAAATAAAACTCTTACACAGTCAACTACGTCATCCCTGGGCAGGGGACGGGAGAGGGGCGAACATCGAATGCGTCCCCTCAGCACCAGACAGAGTGATCGCAGCACTAATTCCAGCCTGGTCCGGCAACTCAAGGCCTTCACATAATAGTGGTCAGTTGTTAACAAGTCAGGAAGACAGCACTATGGACACTCAGGTAAACTGACCATTAGTGATAGGGTCATCAGCTGTATTGCAGTTGACCTGCAGTATCAAAAGCTCTATTTCAATTGTTTTCATCTAGTAAACTATTAATTTCTTAGAAAGGGGAACACCTATCTATAATTTATCTTTATCTTTGCGAACTTGAATATAGAAGAGATGGACATTAAAGTGTTATGTTATGTATTTGATTAAGTACGATTCTTTCCCATTGATGATCTATGTAATGACAACTTGTGACATTGTGTTATGTGAATTCATTATAGTCTATTTTCAGATATGTTATGCAGTTATATTTACACCTCTGTGTATTACATATTCCACTAAGATTTCAATAAAATTGACTGTGACTTTCTGAAATCTTCTCTGGAGGTTGTCTGCATTCTCTCTCACCTCCTCTCGGCAACGCTATCTGTTATAATGGTTGGTTCTACAGATAGTGATAAGGAATTCAATTTCAGTAAGGCAGTCGGCCTCATAAATAATCACAATTATTGCCTTTTTTCCATCATGAGCCTCAGACTTGTAGGCACTAAAACATATTTAAAACTCAAACCACTGTTTCATAGCACAAACATTAAATAAGTGCCATATTATTACAGCATAACTGAGCACTTGACTGGTAACCTAAATAACGGATCACCACCATTTTTTCTGTTACTTAGCTCCCTCTCAACAATTTCAGACTCTAAATATCTCCTCAACAAACTTCCTGTACAATGTTGCTTAAATACAGAGGAACGGACACAAATACAAAAATTATAATCTTGTACATACATAGCCCTAGCCTTTATACCATTTTTATTAAAATAAAGCACTATAGGCCCACATGTTTGTAACAAACATTTTATTTTCTTATGTCTTCGGCCTTTCACGTTTGAAAAAAAGGTTATAATTTCATATTATACTAATTTATTATTAATGTAATAAAAGTTTTGAATGCAGCAACAAAAATCTTTTTGTCCCTGTACATGTGCGGTTGCGTCCAAGTATAACCTTTAAAAGAGTATAAAAGTAACATTTCATGAAATATTGGCTTTATAATGAGGAACCTGTCCAGGTGTCTGTATAATGTTGAATGTCAGAATAATAATGTTCTGCAAAATTAGCTTGTGAAGAAAAATCGACATAAATGTCTTTTTGTATTTCTTTAGAAACAAGTTTTGATAGAAATTACGAAATTATGTATAAAAAGAATGGAGTGAATAAAGCATTAACTGTGAATTTTGGAATTCTACACTGTGATTGCATTCTCTTAATTGATGTTGCTGTCAGTTAGAGATGCCAGCACAAACCAACTAGAATTTGATCTAGACTTGTAATCACCAAAAGATAGTCCTAAATCATATTGATATTAAGTAATTTCCTACAGATTTTTTGTGGAAGAAAAGTTTAAATCTTATCAAACAACATTTACTTTATTTTTAATTAATTTATTCACTGAGAACAATTTCTCTGAGAATCACGGTTTGTTGACATTCTAGATTTCCCCTTAATCTTTTGTTCTTAAATTGACCTACTGTACTTCTCAGTCATGTACAGTACAGAAAGCAATATATATATATATATATATATATATATCAAATATTACTTTTTGGGTAATATGAAACTTTGTCCTCATTTCCAAGTTATACTATTTTGAAACTATAATGGCATTTGGTCACCTTTGAGTCAAACAGTACTTTAAATGCAATTTTAAATTTCAATACCCCTGACACTCCATGGAGATTAACTCCAGATTGTAATTATACTAGGCATTTTTTTAAAAATTTGCTAGTTTATTTTTGTACATGTGGAGAACTTATTGAACTGAAGAATTCCCAATGGCTGCCAAAGAGTGGTGAAACATAAAAACATGCTTCAGACTTTCATACAGAATGTAAAGTATGTCTCAAAATTAAAACACAAACTGCTATTAAAAAAAAAACGGCATTTAATGTATTTCATCTGGGAATGATTCAGAAGAATTGCTGTGACAGTTATGAAAACATCAGACTTTTGGTGTACTGAAATTTTAATAGGATGATTCTTTGCAATTTATAAGGATAATTTCACACATTTCAAAGTCCGGTCAATTTATTGTATATATAATTACTGTTTACTACAGACTAGGCCAGTGATCAACTGTTACCCAAGTATTTGTAAAAACATAGAAGTCTGCTTTAACATTAACTAAGAACTCTGATTAGTATTTTAAAATGGTAATCACTGAGTGAAAGTCAGCATTCACTAGTCTCATGCAAAACTTTAACAATTAATACTTGTAAAAACATGCCCGTTTTAACATCATTTATGAAGACATTTATCATTTATAAAGACTAAAGATTAATTAAATTTAAATTAAATTGAGAGCCAGTATCTGCTCCACTCAAATCATTACAAAAGAACTGTTTAACAATTGTAAAGACTTTCTTCACATTTCTGTCAACAAAGTTCAAGATTTATGGCACTAATTACAGATAAGAGCCAGTCTTCACCAGACACTCAAAACAAAATACATGCTAATTTTGTAAAAACAAGTCTGATTTAACATCTGTGAAGTCTTCTTCACTTTTCTATTAACAAAACCATGCGTTTGCAGACAATCCTGTACATCAATCTACTTTATTCTCTTGTTTTTCCGTTGTTGAGCTGTTTATGTCCCATCAGATGGAGCCACTGCTGTAGAGCTGTTTGTCCCACCAGATGGAGCCACTGCTGCAGCATTACTTGGCAGTTGGGAGGGCTGAGCAGGGTCAGGAGGGAGCAGTGATTCCAAGTAGCAGACTCTCTGATTGAGGGTAACAAGAAGAACCTTCATCTGAAATGAAACCAATTATAACAGTATAACAAGAAATATTTACATGAACAGCAAACAAAATTTTTTAATGTGTATTCATTTCACCAGTCAGAACTACCGGTACATAACACACACACACACACTGGAAGACATCTGTTCTAATATATATATATTTCAAATCATTTGTAACGCAGGCTCATAGACGGGGATTCTGAGGGTTTGATTCAACTGGCTTTTTTTTACTGGGAGTAGGTCTGCTCTGGGCAAAAATTTGATCTAGGCGCATTTAGGCTTCGCAGTATTAAAAAGACCACTTAGGGACCATTCAGATCAAGAAGAGCCGAGTGCTAGCTAGGCTGTAACCTAAATATGTTGGAACTACATGAAAGGAAGACTGCTTAATCCTGTAATGGTCTCTCCGCCACTCACACTCCTCCCTATGCGTGGTCCCTGCAGGGACACAGTAATTTAATCTTGGCTCAATTCACCGGTAGGGGGGCGTGTGAGAGGTGGAGAGACCATTACAGGATTAAGCGGTCTTCCTTTCATGTAGGTCTACCATATTTAGGTCGTGGCCTAGCTAGAACTAGGCTCTTCTTGATCTAAATGGTCCCTTGGAAAAAAAAAAAAAAAAACTGAAATTAATGGCTATGGGCCTGAAACAATAGAAAACAAAATGCCTTGTATTTAAATATAACTTGATATCTAATGTCAACTGAACTGACTACACAGACTACTAAAAACCAACAGCAGAGTATAGTAAAGTACATGTAATTTTAATTAAAAAAGAACAACTTTTTATAAAGCTGAACACTGACCTTAAGGATCTGTTCCATTAGCTGGTTGTAGGAGGATAATGGCGGGTCATCCCAGCGACTTTCAGCAATAGCCTGGCTACTGCCCAGTTCATAACTAATTTTTAAAAAATATATATTATTAAAACATAATGACTTAACAGTTAACTTGAAAAAGAGGATCAGATCATTTTCTTTGTACCTCAATCACTGCACACCGCTCTAACATGACCTCTATACAGAATCCACTTCATGTCACATCACACACCTAGGTATCGCTCCTGGGTACGTGCTTTTATGTCCAGTTAATTTCCACAGGACAAGCCACACACATGATAACAGTTAGCCATGTTTTATATTTTTGGGCTGCATGACATTATTTGTAGTGAACAAGTTGAGGGTTTCATTATGACAATAATAATAATAATAATAATAATAATAATAATATTCATTTATAGTCTAAAATCAATATAAAATGTTCAGTAGACTTTACATGGGTAAAATGAACAGAATCAGATGACTAAAATAAATGAAATGGTAGTTAAAATAATAAGATATGAACTAAAGATGTGAACTAAAATGTAATTGAATTGATAAAATATTAAAAATAAATTGTACAGTGTAAAAGATAACAGCCAGTCAAATCAATTATAAAACTTTTTGAAGATATAAGTTTTTAATTCTTTTTTAAAATTGTCCTCAGACTCTATTGTTTTTCAATAAATAGGGAGATCGTTCCACTCAATTGGTCCATATTATTATTATTAGGTCCAATTGTTTTAAAACAGGCTGAGAAAGCAAATATCAGTCATGCATTCATGACAAGGAGCAGTCATGCAAAAAATTTCTTAGTCAGTACAAATAAACTGTTTCCACTGACTAAAAAACTGACTTAACTCAGCTTCCTGGTTAAATTTATTAAAATCAACCGAGCATTGTTAAGCTATTTTACCAAAAATTAAGGTCAACAAAAAATCTATAGACAGTGACATAAGTTTAAGCACTTTTGATTCAAGATTATGTAATAATCATACTAAACATATCACTTTCATATCCTCAAAAAATGAAACAAAGATAGTCAGCTGCAAACAAGCAGTCAACCTGCAGAAATTAAGAAATGGCTAGACAACAAAACTGGCAAATGTTCATATACCTATCAGCAGAAGACACAGCAACAATACTTACAACAAGTCTGATCATAGGGACCTATGTTTGCCTTTTTAAACTCGCCAAATTTGAAATAAAAGTAAAAAAAAAAAAAAACATTTGGCACACATTACCAAAATACATGCAATAAAATAAAAATAGTAAACCTTTAATAACTACCATAAAAAATAATCCAAACATGCTCACATCTTACAGTGATAAATATTATATAATTATTTCACACACCATTCAAGTTTCACAACAACAATATGACACATAGCCTCATATAAAATTATGCCTCTTTAAAAAGATCTCCTTACCTCTCAAGTCTGTCCAAAGACAAAGTTAATGTTCCACGATGCCTATCCAACCTTCTGGATGTTGAATGATACTTCTTACCAAGAATTCGACTGCAATGTGAACATTTCAGCCAGACAAATGTGCTGAAAATACAGTGCATGTGGAATGATTGTTAGATTGCAAAAAAACGAATTAACAAAAACATATGTGCTGTAGTGCCAGACTCAGGGTAGAACCTGCCAGATAGCCCAGACTCAGGGTAGAACCTGCCAGATAGCTCAGGCGGTAGAGCACTCGTATCTACACCGTCTCTATTAAAGATTCTGAATTATGTCTCGGCACAAAATAAGAAAGTTACTACGTATGAAGATTCCCTTTCTTTAAATAAATAGACAACAGCAATAAATCATTGCAAACTAAATTAATATTTGCCCACCTTCCAACATCTAGGCCTTCTGTTGAAGTAACTAGTTTTTTACCTATGCTCACTTTTTGTTTGACAATTGTCGTTGCTGGAAAGATAAGAAAATGTAAAAAAAATCACTATCTGAAGCTTCTTTTATTAACCAAAAGGGGTTCAACTCCTAACAACAGATGTTCTTTTGCGTAGATTGATTATACGGACTTTTTGTCTATTTTACACTTGAAATAATAAATATAAGTGCAAGGAGCCCCCCTCCCCATTTTTTAAAAGTTTCAATCACAGAAATAACATGGTGAGAGGCTTTGATTTAATAGTAAGTGTTATGAAGAATTAAATGAATTAATAACCACTGTTGCTCGGTCACAAAATTAAATGATTGATGAATAAAGATGGGGATAGCAAAGTTAACTTACGGTTCAGTAACATTGTCCAAAGACCCACGTCCACTCCAAGCCAAGAGGACTTGTCACCAATAATTATGCGACACTTTGAACACTGGTATACGACCGCTGCACTGGTTGCCATCGTTCATGCACGTGTAATGTCTACACTGCAGAGACGTCTGCTCTTCCCGCTCTCGCCCTTCCAAGTCTGACAAATGGAATATAGTTTCGAAGTTTTGATACGTCAAATAATAGTGAAAATTTGTTTAATAATAATAGAGTTATGCCTTAATATAGTGTAGCTTTTTTTTTAAATTATTTATATTCGGCAGCTTTGAGCATGATATTCAATCAAGAAGAAAATACGTATCCGAGCCAAATATTTCAACAACAATCTAACTCAATATGTCTGCTTTATTTTCGCGGTACCGTAAAGGTTCCTAAGCAGGGTGGAAGTGTACTGTAGCTTCTATAGAAGATACTAGTCACGTTAACCGATTATGAACTCTTACAGCATCATTTTTATTTTATGGAAGGCAGAAGCCAATTAATGCCAAAAGTTGTAAGTGTGGAAAGCATTGTGACATGTTGTCTTGGCTAACACGGGGCTGTGGTGAGAGAAAGCATTGTGACAGGCTGTCTCAGCTAACGCAATGCCAATGGCAGCGTTGCCTTGTCTAAAAGTGTAATGATTTTCAAGATTTGGAAATGTTTTTCAGCACTATCATGTTTTAATACACAATAAACTCCTGCTCACCGAAGTTTGAATTAAGTACAGGTTTCTGGTGCGGGCATCATGGAAGGATATCTTTTCTTTCCCCAATCATGATACTTTAAAAATTAATGGTATTTTTTGTATAAAGGCACTCTGGGAGAGTCTGTAGTATTGACCAAATCAGATTCATGTACTATTATATTGCAGTTTTTTTGCTGAAGTCACACCCAACCTGGTAATTATAATACAATATTATAAAAAAGGACTTATAGACTTATATTTCTTTGTAATTGCAGAACTAGTGGGAGTGATACGTGTGTGCTTTAGCTGATTGAAAGGAGATATCCTGCAAAATTGGCCGTGCAACCATTGGGCTACGTTCACATGCATGGCACATGTCATCAATGAACTGTAACTTTTTCACTTTGAGGTTGAGGATAATGCACCAGTTTCTCTACTGTCAGACAGTGCAAGTGACAGGCTGAACCCGATTTAATTCTCTGATGCTGTAGTGAACAACCATGTAAATTGATACTGAACTTGCACAAAAAACAGTAACAGTAATTGATGCATTTGAAGGCCAACATGTAGGGCACATTGGCACAGATTGCATTGAGGATGAGGAGAGTGTAACACCTTTACAGAATCACTTACATGTACCCCTGTACCTATTCTGATGAAGAGTGAGCTGACAGACAAGTTTAATGAGATATAACATGATGGTATTATGAGCAATGCCAATATTACACCAACCAGTCCAACTAACTGGATATTACTTTTAAATCAAAATTGTTTGCTGTGAAAAAGCCATTAAGTCAGTGGACTATAGTAAAGCGATGTCATTTTCCATCACACCGCATCATTGTCATAGCCAGACTACATGGCAGTTAAAGGGATAACAACTCTTCATATGCAATGTGTAGCAGATGCTAAGGATGGATTATTACAAGTCCTGTTGGATGAGGCTTCCTGTTACCTCACTATATGTGGACACCGCAAGGTCATTATAGATACTAGCCATTTTGAATCAAATTGGCTCCTGAAGAGTTTTCTGGATATCTTACAGAAAGGTCACATGAATTGAGCAATTTTGGAGTTATCGTTGTCAATACATACATGTACATAATACATTAATGATGAACTTTTGTGCGGAACAGGTGAAAACGCACAAAGCGACAGTGACTGTTACAGAGAGCACAGGAACTAAATACCAGAAGGACCAATCAACAAAAAAGCAAAGGAGATCAGGTTAATCTCTATGCAGCAGGCTCTTGCAGACTTCATTCCTTTGTGTAGAGAAATTAATGCGTGTCACACATAATGCCAAATCCTTTGATTTGAGACACATGGTAAAGTATGTTGTCATATGTGACTAAATCGATAAATTGCAAAGTGTAGTGTCAGGATTTTCTGACAACCTGCCTTTTTGTAAGCTGTACATATACAAGGACAAAGTGCATTTTTTTTTTGCAGTCAGATCTTTTTTAAGTGCATACTTGCCATTGGGCTTTTTCTTATATTGTGTCAGTTTTAAAGTTTCATTCAGGTTATGCTTTCACACAACCTAATACTCCATTTGTATTAAAGTCAGTGTCTTACTATTGAACATTAACCTCCATTATTGAGGACTGTAGGTTTCTTAGCCAACAGAGATAATTGNTAAATTAATATTTGCCCACCTTCCAACATCTAGGCCTTCTGTTGAAGTAACTAGTTTTTTACCTATGCTCACTTTTTGTTTGACAATTGTCGTTGCTGGAAAGATAAGAAAATGTAAAAAAAATCACTATCTGAAGCTTCTTTTATTAACCAAAAGGGGTTCAACTCCTAACAACAGATGTTCTTTTGCGTAGATTGATTATACGGACTTTTTGTCTATTTTACACTTGAAATAATAAATATAAGTGCAAGGAGCCCCCCTCCCCATTTTTTAAAAGTTTCAATCACAGACATAACATGGTGAGAGGCTTTGATTTAATAGTAAGTGTTATGAAGAATTAAATGAATTAATAACCACTGTTGCTCGGCCACAAAATTAAATGATTGATGAATAAAGATGGAGATAGCAAAGTTAACTTACGGTTCAGTAACATTGTCCAAAGACCCACGTCCACTCCAAGCCAAGAAGACTTGTCACCAATAATTGTGCGACACTTTGAACACTGGTATACGACCGCTGCACTGGTTGCCATCGTTCATGCACGTGTAATGTCTACACTGCAGAGACGTCTGCTCTTCCCGCTCTAGCCCTTCCAAGTCTGACAAATGGAATATTGTTTCGAAGTTTTGATACGTCAAATGTTAGTGTTTAATTGTTTAATAATAATGCAGATATGCCTTAATATATTGTAGCTTATTTTAAAATTAATTATATTTGGCATATTTGAGCATGATATTCAATCAAGAAGAAAATACGTATCCGAGCCAAATATTTCAACAAAATCTAGCTCAATATGTCCGCTTTATTTTCGCGGTACCGTAAAGGTTCCTAAGCAGGGTGGAAGTGTACTGTAGCTTCTATAGAAGATACTAGTCACGTTAACCGATTATGAACTCTTACAGCATCATTTTTATTTTATGGAAGGCAGAAGCCAATTAATGCCAAAAGTTGTAAGTGTGGAAAGCATTGTGACATGTTGTCTTGGCTAACACGGGGCTGTGGTGAGAGAAAGCATTGTGACAGGCTGTCTCAGCTAACGCAATGCCAATGGCAGTGTTGCCTTGTCTAAAAGTGTAATGATTTTCAAGATTGGGAAATGTTTTTCAGCACTATCATGTTTTAATACACAATAAACTCCTGCTCACCGAAGTTTGAATTAAGTACAGGTTTCTGGTGCGGGCATCATGGAAGGATATCTTTTCTTTCCCCAATCATGATACTTTTAAAATTAATGGTAATTTTTGTATAAAGGCACTCTGGGAAAGTCTGTAGTATTGACCAAATCAGATTCATGTACTATTGTATTGCAGTTTTTTTGCTGAAGTCACACCCAACCTGGTAATTATAATACAATATTATAAAAAAGGACTTATAGACTTATATTTCTTTGTAATTGCAGAACTAGTGGGAGTGATACGTGTGTGCTTTAGCTGATTGAAAGGAGATATCCTGCAAAATTGGCCGTGCAACCATTGGGCTACGTTCACATGCATGGCACATGTCATCAATGAACTGTAACTTTTTCACTTTGAGGTTGAGGATAATGCACCAGTTTCTCTACTGTCAGACAGTGCAAGTGACAGGCTGAACCCGATTTAATTCTCTGATGCTGTAGTGAACAACCATGTAAATTGATACTGAACTTGCACAAAAAAAAGTAACAGTAATTGATGCATTTGAAGGCCAACATGTAGGGCACATTGGCACAGATTGCATTGAGGACGAGGAGAGTGTAACACCTTTACAGAATCACTTACATGTACCTCTGTACCTATTCTGATGAAGAGTGAGCTGACAGACAAGTTTAATGAGATATAACATGATGGTATCATGAGCAATGCCAATATTACACCAACCAGTCCAACTAACTGGATATTACTTTTAAATCAAAATTGTTTGCTGTGAAAAAGCCATTAAGTCAGTGGACTATAGTAAAGCGATGTCATTTTCCATCACACCGCATCATTGTCACAGCCAGACTACATGGCAGTTAAAGGGATAACAACTCTTCATATGCAATGTGTAGCAGATGCTAAGGATGGATTATTACAAGTCCTGTTGGATGAGGCTTCCTGTTACCTCACTATATGTGGACACCGCAAGGTCATTATAGATACTAGCCATTTTGGATCAAATTGGCTCCTGAAGAGTTTTCTGGATAGCTTACAGAAAGGTCACATGAATTGAGCAATTTTGGAGTTATCGTTGTCAATACATACATGTACATAATACATTAATGATGAACTTTTGTGCGGAACAGGTGAAAACGCACAAAGCGACAGTGACTGTTACAGAATGCACAGGAACTAAATACCAGAAGGACCAATCAACAAAATAGCAAAGGAGATCAGGTTAATCTCTATGCAGCAGGCTCTTGCAGACTTCATGCCTTTGTGTAGAGAAATTAATGCGTGTCACACATAATGCCAAATCCTTTGACTTGAGACACATGGTAAAGTATGTTGTCATATGTGACTAAATCGATAAATTGCAAAGTGTAGTGTCAGGATTTTCTGACAACCTGCCTTTTTGTAAGCTGTACATATACAAGGACAAAGTGCATTTTTTTTTGCAGTCAGATCTTTTTTAAGTGCATACTTGCCATTGGGCTTTTTCTTATATTGTGTCAGTTTTAAAGTTTCATTCAGGTTATGCTTTCACACAACCTAATACTCCATTTGTATTAAAGTCAGTGTCTTACTATTGAACATTAACCTCCATCATTGAGGACTGTAGGTTTCTTAGCCAACAGAGATAATTAGGCTTCATTCACATGAAAAATCTATTTTCTAAAAATCTATACTCTATTCGCGGTATCTTGTGATCACGGTCTGTGCCCTGAATACCCCACAGCGTAATTACTGGCAGCGCGAGCCAGATACTTCCAAAGCTGTAATTAATTCTCGGCTGCGCTCGGAGTGATCACAAGATACCGTGAATAGAAAATAGATTTTTAGAAAATAGATTTTTCATGTGAACGGAGTCTTCATATGAAAACTTTAAGGCCAAATTCAATGGCCACATGAGAGTTAGCTATAGACATCCTTCTATTGAGAATATCATTGATTATTTTTTATCAGTAGTACATGATATTATTTTGCCTCTCTGATAGTGTTGTATTTATAGTATATGTACATAATTATTATATATTTCAATTAAATTTCAGTTCAGTTCAATTTATTTCTTTCCTTGTATGTAGATTATCATGACTTTGCGCAAAATAATATAATTTTTATAACAATAATAATAAAGTTGGTGCAATACCATTCTGTAATTGGTATTTGTGTTGCCCTTATGCGGATGAACAAATGTATCTTTACATATGGAAAGATGTACAAGTTAAATTTTTATTAAAATATTCTAACTGAAAGGTGTAATACAACTTTTTTTTTTTTTTGCTGTGTTTACAGATTTATTATAAGCACAACACAGAAAACGTACAGTTACAATTATATGAAACAATATACTCAGGGCCGTAGCCTGAGCAAAATGCCAGGGGGGGCAGTAAGCGGACACATTTTAACTGTTATTTATTGCTCAATCAGAAGTCAGAAATTGTGGGTTTATTTTGCCATAAGTACAGTCATTTTTTTCAACACAACATGCCAATTGGACTTCATTTTGTAGATTGTCTCAGGATCAGGAATAACGTTTCTTCCGCTGTGGACAAGCAAGAGAAACAATATGCTAAGGCGTTCCTCTGCCATACTTGTGCGTGTCCACAGTTTCAGACGACTGAGGGCTCAAAATGATATTTCGCATGCAACACTGCCCACTGGTAATGCAAGGAAGATTGTAAAGTTCCTACGAAGTGCAGGGAAAATAGTCATGGTCACAGGAAATAAGAGCAGCTGCTGCATCCTTTGGCCGCATATCCTTAGGAACATCACTAAATAACAGTTTCCACTTTCCACTTCAACTTCTAGGTTGTCTTCCTCATGAAGAAATTTTCCATAGTAGGACATGATATCACTAATATGCTGTGGCTGTAGTGACTCCAAATTGTGAGGAACAAGAGCGTCAGCTGCTAACAAACCTGCATGCTTTGGTTCAAACCTTCTTTCAGGTATTTTTCTTTTGCACCTCAAATCCCAGGGGGAGCAGCTGCCCCCCCTGCCCCCCAGAGGCTACGACCCTGATACTGTAAAATACAAAGAAGAGCAAATTCTGTAAATCACTTATAAATAAATTCACTTTTTGGTGACCTTGATCAGTTTCTCTGTGTTTGTAAATTTGATAACTTGATTTCAAGGTATAAATTTTCTTGTTATTTAGTTTTTATTTGTATGTGTGATTTCAGGTTTCAAATTCCACAATACCTTTGATCTCAATTCTCACACAGACTTCCAGATTGTGTGATTCAAAACAGGGTTGACATTTTTGTGAGGTTAATTCATGACATGTAATAAATATGATAAAAGATATTGCTAGTAGTCAGATGAGATTAATTTATGTAAAATATTAGTATTAAAGCAGCAATAAGTGATTTTAATACATTTGAAACAAGTTTTTAGCTATTGTCTTTCATTCATTACCGGACAACCCAATCAATAAAGTACTTTTAATTAGAGCCAATGAAATTGTTTTCCTATATACTGATGGTCTGAGCTGGTGATTTCAGCCTATGAAAATGCTTTGCCTCCAAAGACAAATTTGAAATTGTTCTATAAAATGAAAAAAAAAAATTGTCCAAATACAAGTTGCCATAGCAACAGGATTATGTGGGTACCTATCACTTGTTAGCATTCTTTGGCTTTGCAATATACTAATGACCTAGTGTGGTGAGTTATGTCCATGGAAAGGCTAAGCCCAAAAATCTTTTGGGGAAATTGAACAAAGAAAATGAAAAAATTACCTTTACCTAAAACAAGTTGCCGTAACAACAAACTTCACATGGGTACCTAACATTTTTTTTTATCTATGTCTGTCTTTAAGACCACGTTTGATGGGGGATACGAACTAAGAACGAACTTCAACTGCAAAGTTAACTGATAAAATATGCAAAAACAAGGGAATTTCCTGTGGGTCCCATTATAGTAATTGTTCCAAAAGTCAAAAGCAACAAATCCAACAGTGTAATAACCAACGGGTATTGGTTATTCAGGTTTTTATGTTGATTATCACCAATAAGACAACTGAGACACTGGCGCACCTTTTTACTGTCTTCTACAACTGGTCTCTACAAATTCACAAAGTACCATTGCTCTGGAAGACGGCCTCTATCATCCCGGTACCAAAAATCATCCCAAGCAATCAGTTTAAACGATCTTAGACCTGTTGCTCTGACTCCGGTGACCATGAAAATTTTAGAAAATTGAACTAGTTTTAAATTTTATTAAAGAAGTTGTGCCTAAAACTTTGGACCCACTGAAATTCGCTTATCAATCTAACAGAAATGTTGAAGATGCGATTAACCTGTGCCTACACACTGTACTACAACACTTCGATATTTAAAACATTTATGCAAAGATATTATATTTATCAGCTTTTAACACAACTGTGCAAAGAAAAAAAACAACTATTTGAAACTTTTAAACGATCTTAAGCTGCAATTTTTTTATTTGTGACTGGATTTTAGACTTTCTTTTAGATAGAAGACAATCAGTTAAAGCCGGCTCTTTTATCTCAAAAACAACAGTTTTAAATACCAGTGCACCACAGGGATGCGTCCTTTCACCTTGTCTTTACTATGATTGTACTAGTGTAAACGAGGGGACTTTTCTTGTGAAATTTGCGGATGATACTTCGCTTGTGGGGCTAGTTCCTAATAATGACAAGAGTACATGTAGAGAATCTGAGTCGGTGGTAAGGTGGTACGAGCTCGAGAGTAATGACTTTATTTTGGACGTATCTAAAACCAAAGCAATTTATTATAGTAGATTTTAGAAGGTTGATGCACCACTAAGCATTGATAAAGTAGGATAGAGGAGTTTAAACTACTTGGCATATGCCTGAATGGTAAATTGAATTGAAAAGATAACACCGCGAAGAGTGTAAAGGGCGCACGGCAAAAACTTTTTTAAATATTGCCCAGAATTATTTTAGTCGACTTTTACAGGCGTGCAATTGAAAGTATCCTGGCGTACGGAATTACTATCTGGAAGAAATAAACTAACCAACGTTGTAAAAGCTGGATGGTATTTTTAAAGACATAATGGAGAGAAGAACTGTTAACATCATGGAAGATATCTTCTCATCCAACATCATCACTTTTAAGGTTTTTACCAGCTTTTATCCGAGTGCAGTAATTTGATCTCTAAACCAAATTCTTAATTTTATCTATTGTATTTCTTTTACTCTGCATATTATCAAACTTGCTCCAAAAGGAAAAATAATTTTTATAATTGGCCTATTAAACATAAAGCATGAAATAAAAAA